GTCGAAGAGCAGCTAGATGGAGTGCCTTTGGCCGTGGGAGGGGGTTGCATTTGTACCCCCTCTACCTGCTGTGACGTGAACAAAATGAAATGCAAGAGAAAAAGAGAGGACGAAAATGAAAGGCTGTGAAGACCAAAGCCCCCTCTGCTCTGTGAAAACATCACCATGGGAAACCAGAGAACACAGAGAGCCAGAGTGGGGTGCCTGCATGTCAAACTGCCCTCAGTCTGAAGTCCTATATGCAGGGAGGAACAGTAAAAGATTCAGTTGACATTGCCCCACAGGTAGAACACTTGAAAAAGGCACTTACAATTATAAAGGCTGATCAATTTAATTGTGCAAACTGACAGCCTTCTATATAATTTAGGTCAGTATTTCTGTAGGGGCTAAATCTCTCCTCTTTATGTTATTGTAATGTGCTATTAATTTGATTGATGGTGTTCTTGTCAAATCCTGAGGCCCCTGGGGGAGGGCTCAGTGCATTTAAATGTACCACTTTTCAGCAGGCCTGATAATGGACAGCTTCAGAGCTGAGAGGCTGGCTAGAGCTCGACCACTCTCTGCCTCACTACTACCACATAACTTTACAGAGAACAAAGACAACAGTGACATACCTACGCATCAAAGGGGGGGGGGGGGGGGGGGGCAGAGAGACAGAGACGGACAGAATGAGAGAGAGAGCGAGTGAGAGAGAGAGAAACAGACAGAGACTTGTAAGGCCTTAAGATACCTTCAGATTTATGCAAAATGAGAACAGAATGACTACAATACTGTACATGAACCAGCACTGGAAATTATTGTGAGAAAATAAATGGTGAGCTGATCATTTCAACAGCATTATGGCACAATATATCACACCATTACTGCTAAGTGAAAGTTTTTTTCTGACAGCGTCATTTACGGATTCAGTGGTCTTGTAATTATCTGGTAATTCTGGTGTTCTGTTGATGGGAGTTTATGGGAGTTTAATAGAATTAGGCAGGGTGGCCATGTGCTAGGAGCAAATATCTCCCTGCATCCTCACCATGGTCACACTGATGGACCACTAGAGAAAGGCAGAAAATCTGCTGCATTCTGCAATGCTTTAGAGCTGCATATTAACTAAAGTCACAGTAGTTTCCTAAGTGTATGCGTGTTTGTAATCCCTGGGATGCTGAACTAGTAGTTTCAAATATCCAGACAGAAAAAAACAAGACAGACAAAACAGATTTAGCAAAAAATGTTTAATCTCTCCTTGATGCGTGTTTATTTACAAGTAATAAATCTGCAAAATAGGAAAGAGCAGAATATTTACACAAGCGTGAAACAGCCAACCTGTCACAATTGCTTCAAGTCTCAAACTCTTAAAAAGGTATCAGAATTCATAAAGTATTAAAACTCTTTAGTTTCTCTTTTTTCTTAAATTTGTGTCTAGATATTTTAATGTTTGATCCTAAGCCTTTTTAAATGTTCTTTGAAAAAAGGAACTGCTTTCCAATATGCCATAATCAAAAGAAACCAAATGAGGGAATCAGGAGGACAGGTATAGAAGTTGTTCAGTGGTGTGGCAGAGGGGGAAACCTGTGACAGTGTTTTGAGTGGGCACGGTAAGGAGGTGGATTGTGGGTAATGGAGGGGTCGTAGAGGGTTGTGGGAAGGGGAGGGGGAGCTGACAAGGCACTATGTGCAAAGTGAAAGCTCTGTGTTCATCAAACAGCATCTGGATCTCTCCTTCTGGCTTTCCTCTCCATCTTCCACCCAACTCACTGCGGCAGGCAGACAAGAGAAAAAATAAGTACCATTTCCTTCAAAGGAGTTCTGTAGAGAAGCCTCTTTCTTGTCATCTTCACACAACAAGTGGCATAGTAAAATAGAATAACAACATAAAAGAAAACATGAGACCAACTGCCCCAGTACATACAATATAACTTGTTTATATACTCTATAGAGTAACCTTACAGATTACCACATGTATCCATAATCCCCCCAAGATCCTAATCATCATCATCAAAACCTCTCACTTAAATAACAGAAGAGCAAAACGACATGAAAGCAGGAGAACCGTCCTGAGACTTTAAAATGCAACCAGCTGTTTTACAATCACAGTCATCAAAGCCTAGCGTGTGCGGCGGGAGGGAGACAGCACACAGCAACATTTCCCATCCACTAAACAAATATAGGAGACAAATGTGCTCAATCAGGGAATAAAAGATGCTTAACAGAAGAACAGAAGAAACCATCTCAAATCATCCCAAATAGGGTGAATGAACAGAAAAGTGGTCAAGTCAATGCCAATCCTCCATTACCTTCTCTTGGTTTGGGAAAAGCCAGTAACCAGCATATAACTCTGTTTATGTTAAGAGTTTCATAAACTAGTCCGTACACCCTGCTCTCCGATATAAAGTACAGCGTACAGTACATATGTGTTTGCCTGGGTGGGGAGGAAGGGATTGGCGGTAGGGTGGGGTATAGAAGTACCTTCATTGGGTTGTCAACACTAGGACAGAGCTGGAAAGGAAAGGAGAGTAGAGAGGGTGCCTTTATTGGAGGATGACCAAGAGAGAAGGAAGATGAGAGTAACAGCCCTGAAGGACACTGAGGTGAAACATGAATACTAAATATCCATATATTTTCTGAAATGTAAATGTCTAATAAAATATATGATGTGTTATGAAGACCTACTCCCAATAGATCAGGAGAGATTATAATATCACATCAAACAAAAAAATAAAAATAAAATGAATTTAGGAGAGACTTTTCATTTTCATTAAATCCCACCACCTTTGTTGAATCCTGATCTAGGATGGATGGATGGATGGATGGATGGATGGAAGGTTACATATCACATCTGTAGTCTGTGTGATCCACACGGCTCTCACTGGAGAATTGACCTAAATATTTCAGAGATTTCTCAAAAATGTCTCTGTGTTTTTCTTCTAGCCAGCCATACTGTATCTCCTTTAATCTCAGAGGACAAGGGAAAGGAATGAAGTTTCTTGTTTTTGTACATGACCGAAAGGGAATTGGTGCAACATATTAAAGGGAGACAATGCATTTCACAAAAGTATCAGATTTCTGAGGAAACAAAAACCTTCGCCCAGTTAAAAACACTCACAAAGTCTGAGCTACATTTCATCATCTTGTCACACATCACAGATGTTTGCATTTCAACATATTTTTCACTGTTATTTCATCTTCACAGCAGACTAAAGAACAAAGAAAAGACAACACTGAATGTTCACGTTCCTTGGCGCTTTAAAACTCCTCTTTTTCCGTTTGGATGATGCTCGTCACAGATGCTGTTACAGAACATAAGGGAAACCCTGGGAGATCTACTCTGCTAGCACTAACCATTGTTTGGTTGCTGCAGAGTACAAACGCATACAACTTTCACCACTTAAACAGATCAACGATAAAAAAGAAACCATCTATTTAATTACAATAAAATAGAACTGTTGAATGTTGAAGTCACTAGAGTGACAGTACTTGCTCTCATGAGGGGCTAAAATCATGAGGGATTACCCTTCGCTCAAAGCTTTACCTATAAACTCCTCTCATCTTTGTCTGCAAACCTCTACCTCAGTGTCCACCATGACAGTCTGTAAGACTGTAACTCTAACACAGTGATCTACAGTATCTGAGGAACCTGAGGAGAGACAGCAGGGGAACTTCAGGAAGGCTTTAAAAGGGTAGTAGGTGAATTAAACCTTTGCTACATTTAGCATGGCGCTAAGCCCAATTAATCCTTCTGTGGCGTCTGAATTCTGTTGTACAGCAAAGCCCATAACATCACTGTACTGTAAGCCATGATATTTGCCTTCCCAAAAACCTTGAGGTCCCAGAACAAAAGTGATCTACTTCACTGTGGTCTGGAACCTGTGCACAGAGGTGTGCATGATAATGGATGCAACCAAGAGGGCTGCTCATCCAGGTGGCTAACACAGAAGGCTGTTTTCTCTCACCAGAGTGGTATACAAAACCAAGCCTTTGGTTTTTCTAAAAGCCACAATAGCACTGTGGTTGTATTAAATACCGGAATACCATACAGGTACGGTATTTCCAGTACTATTAAAACATATGTTCTCCCAAGACAGGAAAGGCCCCAAAACGTAACAATTTGTTGATTTTCTTCTAATATTTTTTTTGTCATTTAACTTTTTTTTTTACTCTTCAGTCACTAGGCATGACAACATTTTAATCATAGCACATTTGATCTAAAGAAAACGTCTTTGCACTAAACAACATTCAAATAAAACATGGCACAGGACAAGTTTTCCTCTTGTTTTCATAGTTCAGTCTTTGAAATATCAAATCCATTTATTTCAAAGTATTCTGTACATTAAAATGGAAAACTTTGACTATTTTCATTAGTTTTTTTTAAAAATGAAGTTGTATTTATATATCTATATATATTTATATATCCTCTTCTTTTGATTTAGCTTTTTTGTAAATTGTGCAAATTCAGCAGTAACACAAGTGGCACACCACTGGAGAGAGTAGGCAGTTGATAAAAACACAATATCTAAAGCTAAATCACCAAAATAAAATAAAAAAGGATCTGAAAATCAAAATGACGTCCATGAAAGTTGATGAAGTCGCTGACACGTCAGAAGCTTCCATTGAGAGGGGAGCTTTATACATGAAGTCCTTTCTCCATAGCCCCCTTTATTTATATATATATATATATATATATATATATATATATATGTATATATTTCCTGGCCTCTTTAGCCAGCTGCTTCACAGTCCTGGCTGTGGGTAGATGGAGCAACACGGAAGACAAACTGAAATCAGTGATGAAGACCGTTATGATAAGACACTTTCTCGGGGCGATAGACGTTACGTGTTTATAAATGAGGGGTTGTTTGGATGGGCCGGAGCCCAGCCCTAACTCTGGTGGGTCTCCAGTGTACTGCTTGTGTCCTTGCAGTCCTTATGCATTGTGTTGGGGGTCAGGGGCTGGGGTCAGTGAGAGAAGGCCTGGCTGCTACCCTCTCCACCCCTCAGTGGCGGGCCGTTCCTCAGCTGGCCAGGGCCATGGTGTCGATGACCTGCTCCAGCTTACTGCGCAGTCTCTGCCTGCGAGACTGCTCGTCCTTCTGCAGCGCAGACAGGATCTGGGGAGGGAGGAGAGAGGGATGGAGAAGACAGGGATGAGAGAGAGGGAGACAGATCATCAGGGTGGACCACCAACAGAGAAAGTCTATCAGAACATCTGTCAGTCTGTGTAAACAGCTGTTGAAGCAAACATGCTGTCATGGTGGCATGAGCAGGCTATTTATTGGTATTTAAAATACCAAAGGAATACGATCTCTTCCCCTACAAACATTACTCATATATAGGTACGAACATGGAACGTTGAATTTCTACCAGGGACGGCCTGTTCAATAGGGCGATATGGGCGACGCACTGCCAAACGGGAAAAGGAAGGGATTTTTTTTCTAATCAATTATATCACGGCAACAGTAGTTATCAGTGTTGTAATCTATACGTCTGATCTGCCACAGTGCCACACTGCCACTAAATGTCGAATCAGGCTAAAGTCGTGCTTCAAATGGCTCCACCCCCTTTTGGGGCGATTTCAGTCAGATTGAAAATCGCCCAGAACTTCTGTCATAGACTCCCATGTAAAATCTATTTTTTTCAAATTTCAGAGCCTTCAATACAATCTCAATGGGTGTCTGTGGGCTTGCACTTACGCGCTTTCGTCATACGTTACGTAACCATGAACGTAACTGAGAAAAGAGTGGATTGTTTGAAAGAAGTTCCTTTTAATCGGCGAACAAATGAAGATAAATTGGCAACGAAACAATTAGGACCTCCCAGACCAAATTTAATAATTCAACAGGTTTCTACTAAAGGCGGAAAGTCCTACACCCGAGGATTTTCCAAAAATTGGTACGAACGAAAAAAGACATTGCCACTCACTCAACTGGATGACGAGGGATACAGGCTAGCTGTCCGCCGCCACAACGATGAGGTTAGTGTTGATAATCACAAGTTTACTGGATGTGGATATGGTGTAATAAAGGCAGTTTATTCAGAGGTAAATATATCTGGAATCGCGTTCACGGACCCGTTCGTCAAACTCTTAGGGAGCTACAAATTAAGCCCCATTACTTACCATATCAGATAAGAGAAATTGCTGCAGCTACATATATTTTACATCCTGGCCCTACATAGTTCACTATTTGCATCACTTACCAAAATATTACATGTGGTCATATATGCTTGGAAAGTGGAGATGCCATAGAACGTCAGAAAAGTAAACATTGCTGGAGACACATTGCCGTTTTGGAGAAGACATCGCGTTTGCTAGCGAAGAGATTTGTTGTGGCAAATGAACTTGGGCTGGGAATTGCCAGGAACCTCACGATAAGATATATGCATCAGCATTGCGAGTCTCATGATTCTATACGTATTGCGATTCGATACTGTGATTTTATTGCGCACCATATGTCTGTTGCAGAGGGATCAGAAAGCCATGAGAACGAGTTTTGATCAGTCATGGAAATAAAAGTGCTGAAAACAAATTGGCTCCCAATGTGAAAAGATTGAGAACAAGCTATGAAGGAACAATAATGGTGTTTTGGTGCAGGTACAGCCAACTAGCGCTAAAATATTGCGATATTGTCAATACAGTATATCGTAAAGTATCACTATGTAACTCGATTTCTTTCACCCCAATCCCTCAAATTAACGGTAAATAACTGAATTGTTTGCCCCACATTTAGCTAAGATGATTAGCTAGCCAGCTAAAATGTTTTAGTTAGTTAGCAGTCGCATCTACAATAGTTTACTGTCAATAACATGTCTCCAAAAATGACGTGGTGTCTCCAATTGTGTTGACATTTTACAATTGCAATGCGCATCCATGAGTATCCACTTTCTGTAGCTCAGCTGGTAGAGCATGGTGCTTGTAACGCCAAGGTAGTGGGTTCGATCCCCGGGACCACCCATACACAAAAATGTATGCACGCATGACTGTAAGTCGCTTTGGATAAAAGCGTCTGCTAAATGGCATATTATTATTATTATTATTATTATTATCTGAAGAGAGCCCCGAAACATTGTGTGCAGACATTTTATGCAATAAATGAAGTAGGTTCAATCTAGTAGTTCTGATCTTCTGATTGGTCCTGATGAGTTGGGCGAGGTCCCCTGCAGGCTACTGTCACTGTTGCATTGGCTCTGAGTCGGGTTCTCTGTCTTCAAATGTTCAGCCTAAGAGAGGGGATTTTTGTGTGTGTGTGTGTGTGTGTGTGTGTGTGTTTAACAGTGATGATGTGTGTGTGTGTGTGTGTGTTTAACAGTGATGATGTGTGTGTGTGTGTTTGTGTGTGTGTGTGTGTCCTCAGAGCAAGAACTCGTGAGTTGGAAGAACTGAGAGGCCTATGGCGTGGGTGTTGTCCTTGGCCACCTGCTGACAAGGCTGACAAGATAGGACCCTTTTGTCCATTGTTATTGGATAGGACAGAACTTATCACGCAGCTCCTGACCTAATAGATCTTAGCACAAACATTTTACTCGAACATATCATATTCCAATATTCACTATAAAAATATATTTACTAGACATTAGCAAAACCGCCACATCCTCGCCGCTAATCAGTTGTGAAGTTTTTCGGAGGTTTGAGTTGCTTTGGCGAGGCAAAGAAATGAAACTGAGGGCTCCAACACCCTGGTAAGCCAACACTTGAGATCATCAATATAATGCTTCCTGGTATTGACTTATAATGCTGCCCCCTGTCTTCATGGTTTGTTGCTGGACATTCTTTTTTTAATGTGTGTAGGTCACCTAATCAATCAGAAAAATGGCCCCTCTCCTGAGAATTTTTTCAGGAGCCGCCACTGATTTCTACTATATGACATTGTATAGATGGAAAATGAAATCAAACAGGCGGATGACTGTAGAAGCTGCAAGGGGTCGATATAGAAAGCACAGCTGAGGTGCTGTACAGCGCCTTACAAAAGTATTCATCCCCCTTGGCGTTTTTCCTATTTTGTTGCATTACAACCTGTAATTTAAATGGATTTTTATTTGGATTTCATGTAATGGACATACACAAAATAGTCCAAATTGGTGAAGTGAAATGAAAAAAATAACTTATTTCAAAAAATTCTAAAACATAAATAACGTAAAAGTGTTGCGTGCATATGTAGTCACCCCCTTTGCTATGAAGCCCTAAATAAGATCTGGTGCAACCAATTACCTTCAGAAGTCAGATAATTAGTTAAATAAAGTCCACCTGTGTGCAATGTAAGTGTCAGATGATCTGTCACATGATCTCAGTATATATACACCTGTTATGAAAGGCCCCAGAGTCTGCAACACCACTAAGCAAGCGGCACCATGAAGACCAAGTAACTCTCCAAATAGGTCAGGGACAAAGTTGTGGAGAAGTACAGATCAGGGTTGGGTTATAAAACAATATCTGAAACTTTGAACATCCCACGGAGCACCATTAAATCCATTATAAAAAAAATGGAAATAATATGGCACCACAACAAACCTGCCAAGAGAGGGCCGCCCACCAAAACTCACGGACCAGGCAAGGAGGGCATTAATCAGAGAGGCAACAAATACACCAAAGATAACCCTGAAGGAGATGCAAAGCTCCACAGCGGAGATTGGAGTATCTGTCCATAGGACCACTTTAAGCTGTACACTCCACAGAGCTGGGCTTTACGGAAGAGTGGCCAGAAAAAAGCCATTGCTTAAAGCAAAAAATAAGCAAACACGTTTGGTGTTCGCCAAAAGGCATGTGGGAGACTCCCCAAACATATGGAAGAAGGTACTCTGGTAGGGACTGGGAAACTGGTCAGAATTGATCGAATGATGGATGGCGCTAAATACAGGGAAATTCTTGAGGGAAACCTGTTTTAGTCTTCCAGAGATTTGAGACTGGGACAGAGGTTCACCTTCCAGCAGGACAATGACCCTAAGCATACTGCTAAAGCAACACTTGAGTGGTTTAAGGGGAAACATTTAAATGTCTTGGAATGGCCTAGTCAAAGCCCAGACCTCAATCCAGTTGAGAATCTGTGGTATGGATCTGTGGTATCTGTAGTCCCCTGTAGCTCAGTTGGTAGAGCATGGCGCTTGCAACGCCAGGGTTGTGGGTTCGTTTCCCACGGGGGGCCAGTATGAAAAAACAAATGTATGCACTCACTAACTGTAAGTCACTCTGGATAAGAGCGTCTGCTAAATGACTAAAATGTATGACTTAAAGATTTCTGTACACCAGCGGAACCCATCCAACTTGAAGGAGCTGGAGCAGTTTTGCCTTGAAGAATGGGCAAAAATCCCAGTGGCTAGATGTGCCAAGCTTATAGAGACATACCCCAAGAGACTTACAGCTGTAATTGCTGCAAAAGGTGGTTCTACAAAGTATTGACTTTGAGGTGGTGAATAGTTATGCACGCTCAAGTTTTCTGTTTTTTCGTGTTATTTCTTGTTTGTTTCACAATAAAAAATATTTTGCATCTTCAAAGTGGTAGACATGTTGTGTAAATCAAATGATACAAACCCCCAAAAAAACAATTTTAATTCCAGGTTGTGAGGCAACAAAATAGGAAAAATGCCAAGGGGGGTGAATACTTTCGCAAGCCACTGTATGTACTATGGCATTATGGGAACTGGAAGAGGAGGTGCCGGTGGGTCCATCAGAGATGGATAGCTGTGTACTAGCTGTTAGGGAGTCATGCAGGAGGCTGCATGGTGGACTGCTAATGCACCGTGTGTTAGTGCTGCTGTGGGAGACGAGGGGGCGGGAGGAGGACCCTGCAGCCACCCGCAACTGGATAATAAGCCTTAATGAAGGGGAGCGGCTGCTTAAATGGAGGCAGATGCAGCTCTCGCCTAAACCACAGGATCCAGCACTGCTGATAGAGGAGGGGAGAGAAAGGGGTCGAGATGGGGTCTGATGCTGAGTGGAGATGACTGATTATACCCCACTCACTTCCACCACCACTCTACCATTCCCACCACCACCACTCTACCATTCCCACCACCACCGCTCTACCATTCCCACCACCACCGCTCTACCATTCCCACCACCACCGCTACCACTCTACCATTCCCACCACCACCGCTACCACTCTACCATTCCCACCACCACCACTCTACCATTCCCACCACCACCGCTCTCTACCCCCACGCCCTTTGAAAAGGCAAGCAGAGAGGCTGCCGGAACCTCTCACAGCACACACTCAAGGCACTATAACCGACAAGGTAAGAAGAATTGTCTAAGCAGACAGAGCTACACATTGTTTACGTGTTTGTGAAGGCCACAACAGGAAAGGGGATACCTAGTCAGTTGCGCAACAATGCATTCAACAGAAATGTGTCTTCCGCATTTAACCCAACCCCTCTGTCCTTAATCAAGGTCAGAACAACATAATTCTCCACCTCGCCGGCTAGGGGATTTGAACCAGCCAACTTACAGTTACTGGCCCAACGCTCTTAACCGCTAGGCTACCTGCCACCCCAGGCACACAATCTCAGAGTGAGTACAGTACAGAAGCTATCCTAGCATTGCCTTCATGCCTGGCTGTCCGACTGTCTGTCTGTCCTAATGGCTGGCAGTGGATGGAGGGGATAGAGTGGAGGGAGCTTCTGCACTGCTTCATTATCTCTTCATTTCCACAGCCCAGTCTCCGTTAGTTACTGGCCTCAGCCCTCTCCAGGCTGCTTGGCTCAGCTCAGCTCTCTGAGAATTAGCACAAAGTGTACACTCTCATTCACATCTCCTACATGAAGTAGCTACACTTCACTGGCACTGCCTCAATGAATAAGCAATGTTTCAAGAATGAAAATATATTTATGCACATGGAATGAAGTGTGTTAATTAACTTCCTGAAAGGATAGCACATGGGAGAATTAATAAAACACATACTGTACATCCAATGTGGTCCATTAGCTTCATAATATGTACTTTAATGATTTTAATAGCTGCATGCAATTATGGATGTCTACTCAGTTATCTATTAATTGAATTAGAACGCCACCATTCCATTCATCATGAAAACAAGAGGGCACATAGAGGGTGCTTCTGTATCAACCCTTTAACATACAGAAACAATGGCAATTCTGTTCTGATCTCTTCATGCTGTGACTAACAAATCTAACTTATTTTAATAATATATCTATATTATTATGATGTCTATGATTAATATCTTAATAATATACTGGTGACTCACCTCATCTTTGTACTTGACAATATAGGAGTAGATCTCGTGCAGGGCGCTCATGCTGTTGAACTGACTGAGGTGCAGCCGGGACTGTTCAGCCAGGTAGGCACTCATGTCCTGGTCACTGATGACTGGCATACGGGAGATGTCGGAGTAGTACCTACAGGACAGGAGGGGATCAGGAGAGAGGAGGGGTTAGGGGTTGGCATCCCAGACTGGAGAGGACACCTTTTAGTTAAGAATGTGAAGGACTGGACTACAAGGAGAAGTACTTGTCAACAACCGTCTCGTCAACTCTCTCCTCTATAAACACCTCTGATATCATTTGATCAACCGTTTACATGCTAAGTGCATACTACGGTATATCTGCTTGACATAAACCATGAGATGGACAATCTTACAGTCTGTGGAGTTGAGATCTGTGTCATACATACCTCTCCACCCAGTTCTTGTAGTTGGGGATATCCTTGGCGTAGAGCAGCTTGTTGGAGGGCGAGTCTTTGCCCAGCTTGTGTTCTGATGTAGAGCATGAGTCCATGAAGGTCTGGGCCACCACAGACAGACAGGCATCTGTGATGCTGTTCTTATGGATGTCAAACACAAACTGGGGGTTCTTGATCACATTCACCCAGAATCGCAGAGGCAAACTGGGATGGGAGAGAGAGAGAGGAGATGTGTCATCATGAGGAGATGTGTCAACAACCACACACATTATACAACCAAAACACACAGGCACTCAATGTTTGTAATGTGTCTCACCAGTTACTCTTCCAGGTGTGCCGTACATCCGAGTCTGATATGGAGTGTTTGTCGGCCTGCTCGTCCAGGAAGTCAAACATGTACTTGATGGCGAGAGGCAGGGCGCTACCGCGGTGGGCCGTGCTGAAGATGGTCTCAAACAGGTCATCCACAAACTTCTGTAACGTACCCTGAGGAGAGGAGAGGACAGAGGTTTAGTTCTCTGGGTTCTTCTCCAATTACACACCTACAGATTTCAAATCAAACCCACATCCCTTACAGCAACCAGCATCTATTAAGGGGGAGTGGCTGTGGAGAGGACGCCACATTCTGCTCCTCCAAGATCAAAGTACTGAGATATGCTGGTTTACCAGACAGACAGACCTACGTGAGCTATCTGAATTCCTTTCACTTCTCTGCATCACGCACCACGAAACACTCAATTCCACAACAAATGGACCTGTCTCCTGCTATTTTCTCTTCTCTACTCCCCCTTTATATTTATCTATCTTTTTTTATTATGAATCGAAATTGACCACCCAAGAGGCTTGTAAACAGCGTCTAATTTCCATGGTTTTCTTCCCCTACAATTAGGATGGAAACAATCAGCTCAGAGGCAGCTAGGCGAGAAGAGAGTGGCAGGCCGGCCCTGTTTGGCCAGTTAACAGGGACTTGGCTGATATGAGGGACGCCAGAGGAATACAACACTGCAACGGAGGCTGAGCTGTTAAAGAGACAGGCACATCAAGGGACTAGCGAAGAAAAGAGGTCCTCTTCACCAAGGAAAAGCTGTTTACATTTTCGTGGTCATAGAGTGACGAAATGGAGTACATTGAGTGGAGTTACTGCTTTCAATACATGACAAAAAATGACAATTGGCAAACATTTTGTTACAAGGTTTTCATCCGACAGCGACGATATGGAGGCTATTTCAATGACTTACTCAACATTCAGATGAGTTGACTTACATTAACAGTACTATACATGTGTGATATAGGCTGGCCTGGTGTCTATGTAATCTTACCTTGGTGGCCAGCAGACGGGTCAGATAGATCTCAGACACCATCTTGCTGCCGCGGTCTCCCTCGCGCTGGTCAGAGTGGTCGTGGTTCTTGACCAGGTGCCACAGCTTGGTACCACTCTCCAGGTCAGGAGTGATCATAGGGGTGCGGGAGCGCAGGCTGTCTGGACTGCTGGCCGTTCGCAACATGCTCTCTGCACAAGAGAGAGATAGGAACATCAGGTCAAAGACAGGTTCATCAGGAACACACAATACAGAGGTCTTTAGAGGTCAATGGAACAAGATGACCAGAACAGACCAGTCTGACTCCCTGGTTCCATGCCCTATTGTGAGAGCTTCAACTTGAGTTTAAACAGTGATACGCACTCATATAAATCACATATTTCAGGTCAAAATTATGCCTTTTAAAACTTTATCTGACCCTTGCCAAGCTCTGCACATATTGGACAAACATAAATTAGAAGACAAACATATTTTGTCTGCTGACTGACTAAATAACAGTCACATTTAGTCTAGTGAACAAAGGGCTCTTTGGGCTGTCTATCTGGCCATCATCCAGCCAGAACAAAGACTGTGCCAGCGTGAGGAGCAGAGTGTCAGTCTGTCTGTCACAAGGTCACAGCCCATGATGCACTGGGACCTGACCTCTGAGATGGAAAGAACATTAATGAGCAAGACAACAGATCCCTGTAGCCTCTCCTATTGTAACAACTCCTATTGTACGTCAGAGATGTGGATGGATGGTGAGAAATATGATTAGGCCTCAACTAAGGAGCGAGGAGAGCTAGCCGACTCATTATTCTCAATTGGCAGACTCTAACTAATTGGCAAAGTAGGAGAATGAAAACAGTGTGCCTCATTTTCATTGAGGTAGGGCCTAGAGAGGAGATAGGAAAGACAATCTGCTATCCTTCTTATCATTAGCACACATGTTTTTACACCAGCCCTTCCATCTTAATCTCCCTCGCTTGTCCCCCTCCCCTCTCCCCATACCAAATGGCCCATAATGTTATAGTCCTGGATATAATAGAACCCCATACACAATACACCAATATCCTTCCTGCCTGTGGTAGTGGATGAGTCAGGCTGTACAGGCTCCATTGTGTGAGTCTCCTCTCCTCTCCTCCCTGGGGCCGACTGCCTCCATGCACTGCTTCATTATTAAAGGTGCGAGTGTCAAACTTCATTACGGTAAACCAAAGGATGCCTATCTACCGTGTTCCTCTTATCAGCCAGCCTGCTGCAGTGGCAGCCGGCATGGGAGGGAGGCTGCCTGGGGAGGAGACTGCGAGGGCAGCCTGAACGCAGGGGTGTCAGTCCCTCCTTAATGTATGGAGGGATGGATGAAAGGAGAGAAAACAACTTCAATCTCTGTCTATCTCTGAATGATGGCGTGACGCTCGGGGCTTCTGAGCTTCTGAGCGTCTGAGCGCAGGGAGGGCACCCTGGTTTTCAGGGTGAGAGGATGAGAGAATTAGATCTCAGAAACTCACTGACACATAGAGACTAATGTGTGTCAGTGGTTCTGGGTTTGTTGTTTCTTTCCGCTAGACCAAATCAAAAGAACAGTGGGGCATCAGAGCAAGACAACTGCCCTGAATGTTCCCAATTAACTCTACTGAGATCAGGGCCTGTATTCACAAAGCGTCTCAATCATAATAAATAACAGGGGGACCTGATCCTAGATCAGCACTCTTTAGACACTTTGTGAATATGGGCCCTGTAGTATTTAAACAGCGCGCCAGAAACGAACTCCTGCAACACGTATGTCATGTGGGGGGTTAAAACGAGTAATGACCAAAGAGGAAAACAAAACCAGTGTGACTAAGATTGGTCTCCATGCCAACAACCTTGTTTGAGACCCCATTATCAGCTTGTTCACACCAGAACATTCTGCAGCCACTCTCCCAGCAGCCAATAGGCCTCATGTATTCCTACATCTATTGTACATTCATCATAAGGCTGCTACTACTACTACTGCTGCTGCTGTTGCTACTGCTGCTTGAGTGCCTGTAATTCCATTGCAATCATGTCCATTGGCTTCTGGGGGAGAGTGGTACACGTTTACGTCTGCTCTTACAACAGCCAGGGCTTGGCGATCCTCTCTGTGGACGAACAAACCAGCCTGGCTTTCACTGGCCTTTCAGCATTGCTATTGTAACCCCTTATCAACACAACGGCGCACATAAGGAGAGGGAGGGAAAACAATAACAAAGCTGAAAGCTTCTGGAAAAGGTTTTTGCCATGGAGCTGGTTACACTGATGTGGTGTGGAGCTGAGGTTGTGTTTAAAGCTGTTAGCTATTGGTCATCAGTCTCTGGCAGGAGGAATGAGCTGTCTGATGTAATGCCTGTCATTTCCTAGATGGTGAAAATGCCTCTGAAGTGGTGTAGGCTGGATAGATATTGGTGGATTTATGGTTATCTCAGTTTAGAGAGGCTGAGTAAAATCTTGCTTACTATCAAGAAAGACAAACAGAGAGAGCAAAGAAAGGCAAAGATTGAGAGAGAGATTAAGAGAAAAAGAAAGAAGAAGGATTGACTCACCATATCTGCTGAGAGACTTGGTGAAGGTGGAGGAGTTGGATATGTTGTAGGCTGAGTTCTGCTTTGGCACCAGAGCGATCACTGAGCCGTCCGTCACCTACAAGGATTGAAAAACAAAAGGTTGTCTTATAAATGCTGTCCTGTCAATCACTCCATCCACTGTCTATTTGCATAGATAAAACCGCCGAGGCAGTACACTATTGTAACCCCAGCCCACCCACCTCCTCTGTCTTCTCTCACCTGATAGTGGGCCAGTGTGTTGAGGCGTTTCCAGTCATTGTCAATCTTGGTGGTGACATCCTCATCCTGAAGGATGATTCTGGCCATCCTTCCCTGACGCCACTCTGTGAAGGGAAGAGGAGGATGAGAATAGAGCGTGCGCACACACACTGTAAACCCACACTGTAAACACACACATACACACACACACACACACACACACACTGTAAACACACACTGTAAACAGACACACACACACACACTGTAAACACACACAGTAAACACACACTGTAAACACACACTGTAAACACACACTGTAAACACAATCTCCTCCTGGTGTTCTTACCCAGGTCCATGTCCCCAGCCTTGGGTCTCTGGGAGTAGGGGCTGCCCTTGTACACAGCATCCAGCAGCTTCTCCTTCACCTGGGTGATGGTGTCACAGTTCAGCCCCTTCACCGTCACCTCCGGGGCGTTCTCGTTCTCTGGGTTCACACAGTGGAGTGTCTGATAGGGGAGGGAGGGGCGAGGAATTAGGTCCAGCTCATGTCAGCTTACTTAGTTGGCATTTGCAGGAATTTGAATCGCATACTCAAGCAGAAAGCACTAATTAAGGTCACTGAGGTAATGCAAAATCCTATCGCCCTTAATGCCTTCTTAAAGGTAAATCATATATTTTATCAAATATCATTATCGCCCTGTAAAATATTTCTATTTGACAGCACTAACCAGGGTCTTGTAGTCGATCTGCTGTCTGATGAGCTTGTCCTCACTGAGTGAGTAACGTGCCTCTCCTGTGATGGAGTCTATAGGCCCCTTCTCCATCTGCTGCTTCATGGCACAGTACAGCATAAACAGAGGCTCGCCCGCACACTCCTAGAGACACAGGGACACACATGGACACAGGTCATCAGTGACAGGCAAGGGCTGTATCTTAACAGGTATGCATATAGCAACGGTCATCAACATTTTTTAAAGGTTTTAAAAACAATTTTAATAAATGCAGTAGTTGAAGATATTCCAAACGTTTTGAATTTTTATAATCCATCAGATATTGACTGAATTATAGCACATAAAACATTTTACTGGCACAGACAAATAATTAATGGAGTTCAGGAATTTGGGTGGGTATTCAATTTATTGTAAAATGTCACCCTTCTTTTCTTAGAATGCACTCATATATGTGACTCGTTTCAGGAAACTAGGTGTATGCCGCATGTCACTACTTCACAGGAGCGGCATTTGAACGTAAACATTTATTTTTTTATCAAAAAGGCAGAAATGCCTTCTGGAACATGTGAACTTTCATGTGCCTTAATAACAAAGTTGTATTCCATAAATACTATTATTATTCTTTTTATTACGAGCCTAGTTTGGTTTAGCCACGGAAAAAGACAGGGACCTTCCCGCTAGCCATGACTGGCTGAGATAATGGGTGGGCTGGACATGCCGGGAGATGAGTTTGGATTGGTCTGCCATGTAGCATGCTTCTGTCTATAACGTGAGCTGTTCAGTATGTGTTGACAGTCCTTTCTACCGCATCGTTTTTGAACGATATAACGTCAGCCATCCAGAACTACAAAAGTTTTGCTACTTTTCTCAACAACATTGATGCCCTGAATTTAGCAGGCGCTATCAACAGATCAGTTGGAAAAAGTGATGGGCTACTTTCTGCACACGCCACGTGCAGTGTTAACCGGAGTGACTTGACACAACGCTGGCCAAACAAGATGTAGCTACAAACAAAACTGAGTTAAATGGTTCCAGTCTGCCGTGAAGCGTTCATCCATGTATACGGGTAAGTCTTGCTCCATTTTCAGATATAAGTTTCACATTTTGTCAGAAAGTCTTTTTTATTGCAAGTTAAAGCGTACTGTTAGTTAACTGGCAAACGTTAGCTTGCTGGCTCGCTAGCTGACGTTACGTGTATGATCTGTGTAGTAATGTTATTCGAATCAGAAATCCATTTGCGTTGCTAGTTATAGCCTAATGTTAGCTAGCTAACATTTAACCTAGTTTGTTAGCTTTAGCTACCTGCAGATTCATACTACATCTATGACAATGTTTGTATTGGTAGTAGTATGAGTTGGGATTATGCTGGTTCATTGTTTAGGTAGCTAGCTACCTAGCTAGCTACATGTCTAAACAAAAGACTCCACTTCGGCCGGATTATTACATGACCCATGAAATTAGCCAGGTGTGTCTTGGGGTCATTACGGCCATCTATTGTATTTCATGAACATGTGTACATGTCTAGACAATAGTTACCCATCCACTTAGCTAGATGTGACTGGGGGGTGGTTATAGCATTTATTTCACATGATTCCATCAATTTAGTCAAGTGTGTCGGGTAAGTGTCATCTAATAATGATAAAATATTTATAACATATTTTTATCTGGACACTTTCTGTTTTTGATATTGCTCCTATGCAAGTAACCACTTCACTGTACCGTTTACACCTTCTGTATCCTGTGCATGTGACAAATAAATGTAGATTTTATTTGATATAGCGTGTTTGCCACATGGCCTCACATGTGAATCCTTAAAGAGATTGGCGGGGCTAAGGCTTAAGAGGGTGTGAACGATGCCGAATGGGTGTAGACAAAGAAGAGCTCTCCAGTAGGTGTACCAAAACATTCAAGGGCCATTTCCTCAAAAGTGGGGTTACAAGTTTATCAACTTTGAAAGCAGAATTACTTTCCCATTGTTCCTCATCTGCAGTGTATGCTATACCATTTTCTAGCTCTGAGTCTCTACTTCTATCCAATGTAAAAAACACAATTTCAAATGTTGCTACATAAGACCGAATCGAGGCGGTCGGTCACATATAATTTTGGTTTACTGTATCAGGTATTTAACAAATATTTTGTGTTAAAATATTAAAAGAAAGAAAATTGTATGTGCCTCATTTACATAAATACACTGGGTGTATTTGCATATATGAAGACATTAACATAAAGGGATGGAACAGGGCTGCAACAACCAAACACTTGCTCTGTCTACACTACCATCACTCACCTGCGCTGTCTAGTCTGCCTCATTAACTACTGTTGTCTCGTTCTCTTGCATAATTCAACAAGTGTGTCAATAGCAGGATGTCCTCGGATTAAAAATCAACATGCTTGGCTCTAGATTACACCTATCTAAACATACTTTAAAAAAATTTCGAGATCAGACATAATATCACTATAATCCAAGTGTTCATTTTCGGAAGTTGCTTTAATTTCAGCACATCTAATTTTCAACTGTATTAAAATAATACTTTTTTCAACTCCACAAAAATGAACACATCAAAATAAAGTTATCTTTCTTCTCTTTCTTGTGATGCCAGTGTCCAGACGGTGCGTTAAATCCCTGACAAAGCTTTATTGTTCTTATAAATGCAATGGAAAGCCAATGTATTCCATTGATCCCATTTCAGCCATTACTGGGGTGTGTTTGACAGGTCATTACAAAAACCTCTGCGGTCGTAACGTTAACGGGAAAAAACGACAGGCACAAGGAAGAGTATAAAAGAGTCGCAGGAGTAAAATGAAAGCAATCTAGCGAGAAGTACGTGATTTTGCACCCCTCAAATAGATGGCTGAAAAAGAAAGATCCTCAGGTGGGCGGGGCATGCGCCTTGCTAATGCATATGAACAGGAAATATGTTGGCAATGAGGCAACGCTATGCTCCTGTGTCTTCTCACTGGCCTAGGGGACAGACCGCTAGGCGGTCTCATATAATTGTTTCATGCGTTTGCACTATCACGTGCACTTGCCAAATCAATAGTGTCATTATCCCCAGCTCAGACCCAAGAAATAGTTTCCCTCTTAAAACGAGTATCAGTTTAGAGCAGAGTGACAGAGAGGACGGCCAGGTGGCAGCTGAGGCTGAAACGAATAAGAGGTTAACGATTGAGAGGAAGTGCTTAATAAGCTCTTCACAGTGTTAAAGATGCATGTGCCATAGTCGAGGATGAGAGAAAGAGAGAAAGCGAGAGAGAACGAGAGAGCCAAAGTGCGTGAGGTAGAGAGAGAGAGAGAGGTAGAGAGAGAGAGAGAGAGAGAGAGAGAGAGAGAGAGAGAGAGAGAGAGAGAGAGAGAGAGAGAGAGATCACTCTAAGTGCTTGATAGGGATAGCATTTTTCTCTCCCACTTTTAAAACACACTCAAAACTCCTTACCCTCTCACCCTCTCTCGACCATTTATCAGTAATCAAAAAGTGTCTTTAACGCGGAAGGTGAGAATTAAGCACATGCATATGTGTGAGTTAAGGGCACACCCAGAGAGTGTGAGAGTGGTGGAGACTGAAGCTAGTTAGGAGATAGGTGGAGACTGAAGCTAGCTAACTCTGAGAGAGGTGGAGACAGGGCCTAGCTAACTGCCAACTGGGATAGAGGTGGATCCAAAGCTAGCTAAGTCTCCACCTCCAGTGTCCTCTCCTGGCTTCTACACAGCAGCGCAACTCTCCCTCTCTCCCCTCTGCCACCATATGCTGTTAACATCTCGTTAGCATCTCCGCTAATTAACCAGACAGCTGCTAACGAGAGGGAACATGCATACATCACTCCCCTAGCCCTCGCCATGGCACGCTTGTCTGTGAAATTATCTTTAATTCCACATCCCGGCTTCATTAGGGGGTAATTGTACACTCTTCCATGAGGGAGCGAGGGAGAGTGAGAAGAGAGTGAAGAGAGAAGGTCCAGTCGAACGTCACACACACACGGCTCCTAATGACCGTAGGCTAGAACATGTCCGTCAAAGACAATGACACTAAACAAAATAATAAAATAAAAATAATGTCTCTCGTTGGAGCCTTAAGCAGACCTTGCCCAACGATGCCTTTACTGGTAAAATGCTAATAGTGTGCTAACTAATTACTACTACTTATCATAAAGCAATTATAAACAGGAGATGGGGAAAATCCTTTTGTTGGTTTGATGGTGGACTTACCTTTAGGAACTTGTACAAGAGGAATGTGAACCAGTTGGTCAACATCTTCTCAGCGACAGATTCCGTTCTAACAGGGAGATGGAAAACAAGAGGAGAATCAATTAGACATGATAATTAAATAATTAACTGGATGAAATTGCTGCTCCACCTCAAAACTAACCAGGAACAAATCTAGTTTAAGAAAAAATTGACAGAAGCCAAGCTGTGATACTTCCATGAGGAAAAAAATACTTTATTCTCAACGCAAACAATCAATCTTCATTAAAAACAGACAATTACCATAATTGGGTAACTTCTCTCATTAATCATAAACCTGTCGCCTAACGAATGAAGACCCCTGAAATGTCCCCCAGACGAGGAGCAATTAAAATCCACTGTAATTAGTGGACTTTATTTCTCCTAATATCCAGAGAGGAAACCTGGGCAAACAGTTTGCGCCTCTTCCATTTCCCCTTTCTCCTACCCCTACAGCAGATAGAAAAGCTACTTTCTCTCCTTAATTCTCTAGTTTATCTAAATTATAAGGGGGCACAGGGAGGATGGGTGATAGGAAGATAACTTCTCCAAAACACCCTAAACCAAGACTTTGATTTGGCCATCTTGGGTTTAAGTCCTTCATCTAGGCTATGGTTTGAGAGAATACAGAAATACAACATGTATTACTGTGTATGTAAGAGTATTAAGATGTATTAAACAAGAAGGTCATCAATGCCCTCAGCCACCCGAGCCACGGTCTGTTCACCCCGCTACCATCCAGAAGGCGAGGTCAGTACAGGTGCATCAAAGCTGGGACCGAGAGACTGAAAAACAGCTTCTATCTCAAAGCCATTAGATTGTTAAATAGTCACCACTAGCCGGCCTCTGCCCAGTACCCTGCCCTGAACTTTAGTCACTGTCACTAGCCGGCTACTCATTCACGTTGTAGAATAATAGTGAAGACATCAAAACTATGAAATAACACATATGTAATCACGTAGTAATTAAAAAAAGTGTTAAAAAAATATATTTTATATTTGAGATTCATCAAAGTAGCCACCCTTTGCCTTGATGACTGATTTGCACACTCTTGGCATTCTCTCAACCTGCTTCACCTGGAATGCTTTTCAACAGTCTTGAAGGAGTTCCCACATATGCTGAGCACCTGTTGGCTGCTTTTCCTTCACTCCGCGGTCCAACTAATCCAAACCATCTCAATTGCGCATTATGAAGGAAAGAAATTCCACAAATGAACTTTTAACAAGGCAGATCTGTTACTTGAAATGCATTCCAGGTGACTACCTCATGAAGCTGGTTGAGAGAATGCCAAGAGTGTGCAAAGCTGTCATCAAGGCAAAGGGTGGATATTTGAAGAATCTCAAATATAAAATATATTTTGAGTTGATTAACACTTCTTTGGTTACTACATGATTCCATATGTGTTATTTCATAGTTTTGATGCCTTCACTATTATTCTACAATGTAGAAAATAGCAAAAATTAAGAAAAACCCTTGAATGAGTAGGTGTTCTAAAACTTTTGACTGGTACTGTATATACACACACACACACACACACACACACACACACACACACATATACAGTTATTTCGGAAAGTATTCAGACACCTTTACTTTTTTTTTTACATCCTAAAATGGATTACCTTCTTAAAAAGTTCTCATCAATCTACACACAATACCCAATAATGACAAAGCGAAAACAGGTTTTTAGATTATTTTGCTAATTTATTCCAAATTATTTACATAAGTATTCAGACCATTTGCTATGTGACTCGAAATTAAGCTCAGGTGCATCCTGTTTCCATTGATCATCCTTGAGATGTTTCTACAACTTGATTGGAGTCCACCTGTGGTAAATTGAATTGATTGGACATGATTTGGAAAGGCACACACCTGTCTATATAAGGTCCCACTGTTGACAGTGCATGTCAGACCAAAAACCAAGCCATGAGGTCGAAGGACTTGTCAGTAGAGCTCAGAGACAGGACTGGGTCGAGGCACAGATCTGGGGAAGGGTACCAAAACAATTCTGCAGCATTGAAGGTCCCCAAGAACACAGTGGCTTCCATCAATCTTAAATGGAAGAAGTTTGGAACCACCAAGACTCTTCCTAGAGCTGGCCACCCGGCCAAACTGAGCAATCGGGGGAAAAGGGCCTTGGTCAGGGAGGTGACCAAGAACCCAATGGTCACTCTGACAGAGCTCCAGGGTTCCCTTTGGAGATGGGAGAACCTTCCAGAAGGACAACCATCTCTGCAGCAGTCCACCAATCAGGCCTTTATGGTAGAGTGGCCAGACGGAAGCCACTCCTCAGTAAAAGGCACATGACAGCCCGATTGGAGTTTGCCAAAAGGCTCCTAAAGGACTCTCAGACCTTGAGAAACAAGTTTCTCTGGTCTGATGAAACCAAGATTGAATTCTTTGGCCTGAATGCCAAGCGTCACGTCTGGTGGAAACCTGGCACCATCCCTACGGTGAAGCATGGTGGTGGCAGCATCATGCTGTGGGGATATTTTTCAGCAGTAGGGAGACTAGTCAGGATCAAGGGAAAGATGAACAGAGTAAAGTACAGAGAGATATTTGATGAAAACCTGCTCCAGAGAGCTCAGGACCTCAGACTGGGGCGAAGGTTCACCTTCCAAAAGGACAATGACCCTAAGCACACAGCCAAGACAACGCAGGAGTGGCTTCGGGACAAGTCTCTGAATGTCCTTGAGTGGCCCAGCCAGAGCCCAGACTTGAACCCGATCTAACATCTCTGGAGAGACCTGAAAATAGCTGTGCAGCGACGCTCCCCATCCAACCTGACAGAGCTTGAGAGGATCTGCAGAGAAGAATGGGAGAAACTCCCCAAATACAGGTGTGCTAAGCTTGTACCGTCATACCCAAGAAGACTCGAGGCTGTAATCACTGCCAAAGGTGCTTCAACAAAATACTGAGTAAAGGGTCTGAATACTTATTTAAATGTGATATTTCAGTTTTATATTTGTAATACATTTGCAAAATTTATAAAAACCTGTTTTTGCTTTGTCAATATGGAGTATTGTGTGCAGATTGATGAGGGGGAAAAAACAATTTAATCCATTTTAGAATAAGGCTGTAACATAACAAAATGTGGAAAAAGTCAAGGGGTCTGAATACTTTCCGCATGCACTGTATACACTGTATGTATGTATATATATGTATACTCCCGACTCCGACATTGCTCATCCTAATATTTCTATATTTCTTAATTCTATTTTACTTTTTAGATGTGTGTGTATTGTTGTGTATTGTTCGATATTACTGCACTGTTGGAGCTAGGAACACAAGCATTTCGCTACATCCGCAATAATATCTGCTAAATATGTGTATGCGACCAATACAATTTGATTGGATTTGAACAGTATTAAAACATTTGTGTTAGAACTGGAAAAAGTGTGAGTGTGTCAACAGACGAATGTGTGAATGTGTCAGTGGGTGAGTGTGTGAGCGTGTCGACGGACAAGTGTGTGATCTCACCGGCGCAGCAGCAGTTTAGGGTGGTTCTTGCTCTCCAGGTTCTTGTCGATGAGGTCAGAGAGCAGCTGTTTAAGGACCCCTGTGGCATACTCCATCTCCCCCTGCAGCGCAGTCATGATGAGCGACGCCACATTGCCACGGTCACGCATGGAGAAGGAGCGCTGCGCCTCCAGGGTGCGGATGAACGTCAACAGGAAGTGCTTCTTGGTGAGGAGCTGGCCAAACAGAGTCAGGGCCTTCTCCTGGTTGGCCTGGACCTGTCAACAACAACAATAACACCATCAGACCTGGGGACTGGCTGTCACTTACATTTGTTGTAAATGTAATATGTAAATATGTAAATATTTGGAGTACGAATGCCAAGTGTACAAAGCTGTCATCAAGGCAAAGGGTGGCTACTTTGAAGAATCTCAAATATAAAATATATTTTGATTTATTTAACACTTTTTTGGTTACTACATGATTCCATATGTGTTATTTCATAGTTTTGATGTCTTCAGTCTTATTCTACAATGTAGAAAATAGTAAAAATAAAGAAAAACCCTGGAATGAGTAGGTGTGTCCAAACTTTTGACTGGTACTGTAAATGGTATAATGGTAAATACATAGAGTAAGGCTAATGTAAATAATACATTACGTAAGCATACATTTATATCAAGCATGGCTATGTTATGTATACAAGACATGACATTTTGCCCTATGAAGGAAATACATTGTTAATATTACATTCATGACCTTAGCTGCTTTTAAAGCCTGCAGTGCATTCTATATTAGGAGCTGTTTCATTTACATTTAACTCATTTAGCAGACGCTCTTATCCAGAGCGACTTACAGTTAGTGAGTGCATACATTTATTTCATACTGGCCCCCCGTGGGAATCGAACCCACAACCCTGACGTTGCAAGCGCCATGCTCTACCAATTGAGCTACAGGAGGCCACAAGAACCCAATTTGTTTCCTCAAATGGCTTATGATCAATTTGCCATAAGTCGTCAGTAGAGCACAGGAGGAAATATAAAGGAAGGACAGAGGAAGAGGGGGATGCACTGAGGCGTAGAGAGGAGAGGGCCTGTGCAGTGCTGTGCTATGCGTCCAGGGGTGGCTGGGTGAGAGGAGAGGGCCTGTGCAGTGCTGTGTGTCCGGGGGTGGCTGGGTGACAGAAGCTTGTTCCACAGGCTGCCATCTGTCACTTCTCATCAGCAACACTACAGCCCCCTCCAGATCTGACCCACAATCCGTCACTCTAACTCTCTCACACAGATGAGGCAGTGCTACTGGGTAGTGTCTCTTCAAAAGAGAGACAAACATCTAGTATATTCTGCAAGGCTTATGGCATAATGTCATTCCCAAACAACATCCAGTACGTGTTAATAAAAGGAAAAACAAGTCAAAGTACTGTCTTTGTCTTTACGAAAAAACACTTCCTCCTCCACTAGCCAATCCCCTGGCCCCATCCCCCCACCGACCTGTCTCCCATGATCCTCGTCTGCCCTCATAACTCTGACATACATTCAGTCCTGTAGCCAATCGAGGACCGGCGTACCATACACCATGCACAGTGACTCCACAGAATCTCTCTTCCTTCCACTGCATGGCCTAATAAAGTGCCACAATTTTCCTCAGCTGAGCTAAATGAAATTCTGGGGCCTCTGGGGAACAGGCTGGGTACTGTAGGTTGCTTTGGAGAGAGCAGCTACACAGAGCAATAAGGGATTGAGCCGTGTGTATGGACAGTTGATTACGCCAGGGACCCGAGGGGAAATTCGGTGGAAAAGAAACCCGGGCATAACAATAAAGATGTAATCCCTCCCCTTTCGATGAGCCTGTAGTTGACAGGGCAGGCGGTGGAGACAGTCTCTACACTGTATTCTGATGGCCATTTAGATATATTTCATGGTAAACCAGGTGGGATTTAATGATTTACTTGTTTTTCCCGCTGTAAAATAATATCAAATGATATACGAGAAATGTGTAATGACATTGATATTACATGCAGAGAAAAATACTATGTGATGTGGTTAGTGTATATGAAATGGTATAGCCATATCATATTGCCTAGATCAAAGGTTCCCTTTATTATGCAGACAGTGTGGGGTATAGATATAGGTACATATAGATTAATAGGTATAGATATAGATGTATCTAGACTACATGCTGCGGTGGCAGTGGTGGTGTACCTCCTTGACCCGTACCTCCATCTCCTTGAGCACGGGGTGGTCCTCGATGCCAGGGAACAGTACCCGCATGGCGTAGGTCCTGTATTCCAGGAAGGGGATGCCCGCTCCGTCCAGCTCCTGGGTCAGCTCATGGATGTCTGTCTGCAGCTCTGCAAAGGCTGGGGATCACACAGACAGACAGACAGATGGACACAGAGATTAGTACAACACAGGGCTGGCCTGACTACTGCATTGGTTAAGAATGGACATAGAAAGGATATTATGGATGTAGTGTATCTTCATTACATTGTACTCCAATGTAACAACTGTGTGCTGCACAGTATTAATGTCAACAGCAATCATATACCACCACACCAATACTGCACTAATTGGCTTCTAGAAAAAGACAGCTTGATAGGCAATTAAATAGAATGTTGATTTCATTCTTCTGGTACAGTGTTTCTGAATTTAATCCATACTTGTCGGAAATTCAAGAGAAGCGCTAAACAAAATTACAGAAAAAGAGAGAGACGGAAAGAGAAAAAGAGAAAACAAAGTTCATCTGAAAGAAAGTCAATTAATTGCATGAGTGGATAATTAATAAAGGAGCAATGCGTTTCATGCATAATTTCCTCCAGCTGTTATTGCCCCGCATCGTCCGCTGGGATGCTAATAGTAGAGCGCTAAGATCCTCCTTCTGTGGGGGCTTCTCTATTTCTACATACAGTACAGCAGCCACTCAAATATTATACAGACTGCATGATTCCTAAAGGAAAAAGGAAAGAATTATATAAAAAAATGAGGAGAAATTAAGGCTTTATTATCATGTACACAGACACAGGCAGTATGAAAATGTATGCACTCACTAACTGTAAGTCACTCTGGATAAGAGCGTCTGCTAAATGACTCAAATGTAAAAAAAATGTACAGCAAATATGGGCCGTTCAGTATGGGTCCAATTATTCATAGAGATAAAATAACTATTTAAATCTTAGACTATTTAAGTGGAAGGATCGGTTTCCTCCTACTTTTAACCATTGGATAAAGGAAGTTATGCAACATCTCAAGCAAGAGAAAATACGCTACTCCGTTAGGGGATCTGCAATTACATTTTATAATATTACATTTACATTTTAGTCATTTAGCAGACGCTTTTATCCAGAGCGACTTACAGTTAGTGAGTGCATACATTTTTCATACTGGCCCCCCGTGGGAAACGAACCCACAACCCTGGCGTTGCAAGCACCATGCTCTACCAACTGAGCTACAGGGGAATATCTGGCAACCTTTCCTATCCTTTGTAGAAGACATGAACCCAGCTAATTTCACAACTCCATAAACCAACCCAAATTAGAATTTGTATCATTATTTTTACTTAATATCATTGTATTTCTTTACTATTTGATTGTATGACTCATTGTATATCATGCCTGCTTTAAGTCTGGTTTTGGGGCTCTGTTAGAGCATGGGGGGGTTGGGGGGGGGGGGGGGGGTTTGATTTTATTTGGTTTGGTTTGGTTTGGTAGGGGATCCATGTGTTTTGCCCTCTACCTGTTCTGTCTGTGTTATCTGTATAGTCATTAAAAAATGGCAAATAAAAAAAAACGTTGCAAAAAATAAATAAATACAAGAGGCAAAAATAACAATTAAAAGTTATTATTGAAGAATTGTCAACATACATTGCTGGCAGAAAAGATGACTGGCTATGTCTTTCCGTTGATTGACTAAATAAAATAGTTGTTCTTCATTCTATTGAGTTTGTTATGTCTAAGCACTGAGGCAAAGCCACCATTACATCCAGCAGAGCAAACTACACAGCAGATCTTCACCCCATCAACAGTTGCAGCAGCATCTAATCTGTTGTTAATGACCCATTAGCCTTGTGACTGTTATGGTTATTTGTGTGTTTGTTTGGATTACACTGCTCTCTGATGGCCTTTACAGCACGGCTCACTGAGCTCCACCTCTCCTATCATCCAATCCTCTCCCCTGCTGACTGACACTTAGTGGGACACGCCCAGCTCCCCGCTGCCAGGCCCGCCCCCCAGTCTGCTGGGGCAGGGGGCGGGGACACAGCAATGCTCCACTTCTTGGTGCAGCTCAGGGTTTTTATACCAAACTTCCCAGCTACACAGACACAGGCAGAGGTGTAGTATACTGTCACTATCTGGTGCTGCTGGTCTGTCAACAATGCTCATTATATCAGGTATACAAGTGGAGTAACAGTAGCGTTAAATGAATCACTCTCCAATGTCCCCTGTACTATTCCATCTGACCCCACACAGTCCCTCTTATCTCTCTCTCTCCCTGACAGATTTATCCTCCTTCTATTCCTGTATCCATCAGTGTTTGGCCAAAGGCTGTGCTATGGGCTGAGACTGACAAGGTTGTGACCCTCCGGACATCCACCCACAGACAATGGCCAATTAGTCTCCGTCCATCTCTCAGAGAGCAGCAGGCAGGCAGGCAGGCAGGCAGAGCCCAACGCAGCAGAGACGCGCTGCACCGCACAACGTCACAACACCAACACAAACCTGGTTGTCAGCACAACACAAACACACACACTCACACATTCTGAGGATACCGCGCAGCCACACCACCACCACCACAGAGCTTCAGCCCGGGCATCATCCACACCAACCTGTTACCATGACGACTGGACAGAGTGCAGCTACAGCACAGTGACATATCCACACAGATAAAGAATAAGAGAGTGATTATGAAATAGAGAGAAACAAGAGAGAGAGAGAGAGAGAGAGAGAGAGAGAGAGAGAGAGAGAGAGAGAGAGAGAGAGAGAGAGAGAGAGAGAGAGAGAGAGAGAGAGAGTCGTACCTTCTTTACACTCAAGGGCCACTCTGGACTCCAGGTTGTCCATCTGCAGCTGCAGGCGTTTCAGGGTGCGGTCAGCATCGCGGGACTTCCTCTTGTAGGCAATGAGCACAGCGATGATGACCAATAGCAACAGACCACCACCTCCCCCAATGCCGATGATGGCAGGCAGGGTCAGCAGGCTATCTGAGTAGATCTGGAGAGTACCAGGGGAGTACTCGAACCCACCCACCCGGACCTGAACACACACACACACATACACACACACACACACACACACACACAGAGAGAGAGAGAGAGAGAAACACATCACAGAGTGTAATCAAACAAAGCAATCACTACAGTTAAAGAATCTTCCCCTCAGGAACCAAAGTAATTAATAGGAGTAAAACACTGGGAATGGGTTCTAACAAACAACATTTACATAAACGCAGCAGGTCTGACAGAACCCATTACTGGAATATCTCAAATCAAGGTATTCAGTGGGGGGTTGATAAGTATTTAGATGAACTATGATTACTGCACTTTAAAGTAGAGTCTCATCAAGTTAACACAGTCAAAGAATGTTAGACTTATAAAATTGGGTTGTTTTGGTTCAGGTGCTAAAAGTTCCTCCAGGTGCTAAAAGTTCCTCCATAGTTTCTAAACATCATCTATTTTCTTTTATAAACCGGGTCGTTCGAGCCCTGGATGCTGATTGACTGAAAGCCGTGGTATATGAGAGATTATACCATGAGTATGACGCAGAACTACTTGTTTACTGTTCTAATTATGTTGGTAACCTGTTTATAATAGCAATAAGGCACCTCTGGGGTTTGTGGTATATGGCCAATGCACCACAGCTAAGGGCTGTAACCAAGCACCCTGCGTTGTGTCGTGTGTAAGAACAGCCCTTAGCCATGGTATATTGGCCATATACCACACCCCCTCGGGCCTTATTGCTTAATTGTATTGACAAGGAAGGGACTGAAGAGAACAGAAAAACCTAAAGGCCAAATACATTTCTTAGAAAACTCGCAGGGGCTGTGCTAGGGTATGTGGACAACTACAAATACCTAGGTATCTGGTTGGACTGTAAACTCTCCTTCCAGACTCACATTAAGCATCTCCAATCAAAAGTTAGATCTAGAATCGGCTTCCTATTTCGCAACAAAGCCTCCTTCACTCATGCTGCCAAACATGCCCTCGTAAAACTGACTATCCTACCGATCCTTGACTTCGGCGATGTCATTTACAAAATAGCCTCCAACACTCTACTCAGCAAATTGGATGTAGTCTATCACAGTGCCTTCCGTTTTGTCACCAAACCCCCATATACTACCCACCACTGTGACCTGTACGCTCTTGTTGGCTGGCCCTCACTGCATATTCGTCGCCAAACCCACTGGCTCCAGGTCATCTATAAATCACTGCTAGGCAAATCCCCGTCTTATCTTAGCTCACTGGTCACCATAGCAACACCCACCCGTAGTCTGCGCTCCAGCAGGTATATCTCACTGGTCATCCCCAAAGCACACCTCTTTTGGCCGCCATTCCTTCCAGTTCTCTGCTGCCAATGACTGGAACGAACTGCAAAAATCTCTGAAGCTGGAGACTCTTATCTCCCTCACTAACTTTAAGCGTCAGTTGTCAGAGCAGCTTACCGATCACTGCACCTGTACACAGCCATTCTGAAATTAGCCCACCCAACTACCTCATCCCCATATTGTTATTTATTTTGCTAATTTGCACCCCAGTATCTCTATTTGCAGATCATCTTTTGCACATTTATCATTCCAGTGTTAATACGAAATTGTAACTATTTTGCACGATGGCCTATTTATTGCCTTACCTCCATAACTTACTACATTCGCACACACTGTATATATATTTTCTGTTGTATTTTTGACTTTATGTTTTGTTTACCCCATATGTAACTCTGTGTTGTTGTTTTTATCGCACTGCTTTGCTTTATCTTGGCCAGGTCGCAGTTGTAAATGAGAACTTGTTCTCAACTGGCTTACCTGGTTAAATAAAGGTGAAATAAAAATAAAATAAAAGTGCATCTGAGGGAGCAAACTAAACTAAACAACACACACACACACACACACACACACACACACACACACACGACTGCACCCATCCAGAGACACAGACTTGTGTGGTATGTAGGTCATTTTAAAGAGGGAATACAATACATAGCTGTGCCCTTCTTCCCAGCCCACCACACACACACACACACACACACTCACACTATTCAATATTCAACATGACATTTAGTTAAGGAAAAAAAATCCAGCTCCAAGCGTACAGGTAGTTTGGAGAGCCTTCATATTGAATTACATGGATGCATTGTCAGTACTTTCAAGGTATTCCAGACTAGTAAATGTCACACAGACAGTGTGACTAGAGAGGAGAGTAGAGATATGTGTTGAGGGGACTGTGTGGGTGTATTTGAGGATATTTAGAGAGAGTAGCCTTTGCACATAAAAAGAAGTACTATTTAAACTGAAGTCACATTTATTACTCCGTAACTAAATGTAGAATTTTACTGAACAAAATGAATATGGGAATAAATGTTAGGTAAAGCACAGTAAAGATGAGAGAGATAGTGTGTCCAAAGAGAGTCTTATGTGAAATGGTATCGAGTGCCCACCGTGACTTTGTGCTGTCCGGTGAGGTTGGGCCATTCACACAGCAGCTGGGTTTCAGAGAGGGTTAGCACACAGGGGGTCTCCCCAATGAACACTGTGTAGTTCAGCCTGGAGTTACCAGGGGCCGCAGGGATAAGGTTCCGACCCTAAGGGGACAAACAGAAACAAAATGTCAAACTTTAATCAACATGGCACAGCCTTTCATCCATGGCTAGGAACAGTATGATGAACCTAGTCTTCAACGAGCCAGGAAAGTCCCAGGATCCAAGGCTGCTAGCGGGCAAGTCTGAAGTTGGAGGATACAAGAATTCTATTTGACAAAAGTTTCAGGAAGTATATTTTTTTCTTATTTTTTTCCAAGCGTCTCTCTCTATGCCCAGGTGTGAGAGCGAGGGCATTGTCTGACAGATCTGTAGCCTTCAACTACAGAGAGAGAGGAGCAACAAGAGAAGGGAGGAGAGGAGCAGGTGGAGAGAGAGCGAGAGAGAGAGAGTGCTGTTCTGCCACCCACTGCTCTAGTAGCATGAGAGAAGAGCATACTTCCAATCCCTCTCTCCACAGGGCTCCTCCCGGGCAGGTCAAGCCCTGGAACACTTTAGGCATGCATTCTATCCACTATCATTTCACTCTGCATCAGGCAAGCACCCCGACACCACCCCCAGCAACACACATCATATCAGATAAGAAATTAATTCCGTGGCGAATGCGATGCGCATCTCGTAAAATACCCCTGATTATTTCACCAAATTGCATTTTCTTATTCTCATCACTGTGCTAATGTGGAGGTTAGTTTTAACAAGCCAGGTGGGGCATTCTCTCTGCAATCAGAAAAGGTTTCGTTAATACATTTCATTTAAAGAAATTATATTGGTTTTTCTGTTTCAATTGGCTCACAGGAAAATAATGCACCACCATCACAATTTTTATGTTTTGAGTCGGAGCTGGGGGATACATGTATAATCTACATCGAATAATCAGTAGATTATTTTATATAATACATTTACATTTTAGTCATTTAGCAGACGCTCTTATCCAGAGCGACTTACAGTTAGTGAGTGTATACATTTTTCATACTGGCCCCCCGTGGGAATTGAACCCACAACCCTGGCATTGCAAGCGCCATGCTCTACCAACTGAGCTACAGGAGGCCTATTAGTAGGATTATACGCTGTATTTCAATAGGGATTTAAGGTAAACAAATACAATTATATTAACGGTTTATGAGATAGACAGGTGAAAGACAATTCCCTGGTAAACATTTGATAATATCAATATCAACTCGTTGAAATTAGTAAGCCTCTCTGGTGCTGAGTGTTCACCCCCAACTCCACCCCACTCTGCTCAGGCTCTCTTACCTTGAGGATTAGAGGGGAAGTCGGTTTTAGCTCCAGGACCCCGGTGGGGCTAAGGAGTTCGAACACGGGGTCGGGGTAGTAGCTGAACGTCTCGTTGACCACCACCAGAGCGTGGACGTTGTCCATGTAGAAGCCGATCTCATCCGGCCCACTGCCCGTGTCTGAGAAGCCCCTCTCGGAGTCGGCAACCGACGGGGCCAGGCACACCATCACAGAGTTATTAAACACTGTGCAGTTCTGAGAGGGACGAGGGAGGGAAAATTGTTTAGAAAAGTGTGATATGATAAATTGTTTGGTCCCCTAGAGGACCCAGGTTGCTTGAACACCCACATAAAGATTTGTGTATTGGTTTATATATATATATATATATCTCATTATAGTTTCTCTAATCCCCAGCTAAACATTCTGAAGTCTAGGAAAATGTTACTGCTTTGGTGTGTTGTGTTTATGTCTCCAGCCACTGCTAGTAGTTTCAGAACTGTAATAATCACCTATGCTGTATGCTTCTCTACAGGGACCACTAAACATGCTAACCAACATTGAGCACAAGGACCTCAGCAGCATTGTGTCTAGAGGAGAAGCTAGTTTAAACTGAGCACAAGGGACGGGGCATTAGGACACGGTCATTAAGCAGAAGTTGATTCCCTTCTGTTAGAACTGGAGGAAAGGTTAATGGAGCCCCGTGGTGCAAGGTGAGGGGGGTGAGGGGTGATTTGCCAACAACGCTTTGTTGTCCTGTGACATTTTAAAGGTTAAACGGTCTGGGGGGGTGTTGGATGTCTTGTTTCAAGGAGCAGGGCAGAAACAAGAGACAGAATGGGCAGACAGTCTGACGGGCACCTTGGAAGACACACCGCGTGACGAGGTGTGTGTAGGTGAGGTGTGTGTGTGTGAGTTTAAGGTGAGTGTGTGAGTGAGGTGCTGTTTGTTCACCCGCAACCGCCTGCAATTGCTAATAACCATCTGCATTCTGCAACTGCCCGACTATACAGTGAGGGAAAAAAGTATTTGATCCCCTGCTGATTTTGTACGTTTGCCCACTGACAAAGACATGTTCAGTCTATAATTTTAATGGTAGGTTTATTTGAACAGTGAGAGACAGAATAACAACAAAAAAATCCAGAAAAATGCATGTCAAAAATGTTATAAATTGATTTGCATTTTAATGAAGGAAATAAGTATTTGACCCCTCTGCAAAACATGACTTAGTACTTGGTGGCTAAACCCTTGTTGGCAATCACAGAGGTCAGACGTTTCTTGTATTTGGCCACCAGGTTTGCACACATCTCAGGAGGGATTTTGTCCCACTCCTCTTTGCAGATCTTCTCCAAGTCATTAAGGTTTCGAGGCTGACGTTTGGCAACTCGAACCTTCAGCTCCCTCCACAGATTTTCTATGGTATTAAGGTATGGAGACTGGCTAGGCCACTCCAGGACCTTAATGTCCTTCTTCTTCAGCCACTCCTTTGTTGCCTTGGCCGTGTGTTTTGGGTCATTGTCATGCTGGAATACCCATCCACGACCCATTTTCAATGCCCTGGCTGAGGGAAGGACGTTCTCACCCAAGATTTGACGGTACATGGCCCTGTCCGTTGTCCCTTTGATGCGGTGAAGTTGTCCTGTCCCCTTAGCAGAAAAACACCCCCAAAGCATAATGTTTCCACCTCCATGTTTGACGGTGGGGATGGTGTTCTTGGGGTCATAGGCAGCATTCCTCCTCCTCCAAATACGGCGAGTTGAGTTGATGCCAAAGACCTTGATTTTTCACCCAGTTCTCCTCTGAATCATTCAGATGTTCATTGGCAAACTTCAGACGGGCCTGTATATGTGCTTTCTTGAGCAGGGGGACCATGCGGGCGCTGCGGGATTTCAGTCCTTCACGGCGTAGTGTGTTACCAATTGTTTTCTTGGTGACTATGGTCCCAGCTGCCTTGAGATCATTGACAAGATCCTCCCGTGTAGTTCTGGGCTGATTCCTCACCGTTCTCATGATCATTGCAACTCCACGAGGTGAGATCTTGCATGGAGCCCCAGGCCGAGGGAGAATGACAGTTATTTTGTGTTTCTTCCATTTGCGAATAATCGCACCAACAGTTGTCACCTTCTCACCAAGCTGCTTGGCGATGGTCTTGTAGCCCATTGCAGCCTTGTGTAGGTCTACAATCTTGTCCCTGACATCCTTGGAGAGCTCTTTGGACTTGGCCATGGTGGAGAGTTTGGAATCTGATTGATTGATTGCTTCTGTGGACAGGTGTCTTTTATACAGGTGACAAGCTGAGATTAGGAGGACACCCTTTAAGAGTGTGCTCCGAATCTCAGCTCGTTACCTGTATAAAAGACACCTGGGAGCCAGAAATCTTTCTGATTGAGAGGGGGTCAAATACTTATTTCCCTCATTAAAATGCAAATCAATTTATAACATTTTTGACATGCGTTTTTCTGGATTCTTTTGTTGTTATTCTGTCTCTCACTGTTCAAATAAACCTACCAATAACATTATAGACAGATCATTTCTTTGTCAGTGGGCAAACGTACAAAATCAGCAGGGGATCAAATACTTTTTTCCCTCACTGTATGTGATAAAGGGAAAATCTGAGGCCTGCACCCGACCCTAACTAGCTAATATATAAAATGCGCTGTAGGCTAATGTCAGAAATGGCTAACTATTTTTTGACAGGGGGTACAGGATTTTTTGGGCCTGATTTAGATATGTTTCTGCATATAATTTCCGAATATTTGGAAGGCTATTTGTTAGTCAACATGTCTATAATTAGATACATGCAGCTTTTCTTCTGTCATATGTTGCCCTAGAAGACTATATAATCCCTTGCTCACCAATAATGTATAGAATTCATGCTTCAATCTAGTTGACATCAGTAAAGTTCTCTGTCATCTCTGCTTTTTTCGCGAAGAAAATACATTTAGGGACAGCGGAGAAAATATAAATAATTCCAAATAACATCAGTTTGACCAATTGTAAGGAAATAGAAAGCTGCTAAAACTACCTAATATCTTTCTGATAAGATTTCAGTTCGGCTTGGATGCATTTTTTATGTGGTTTAAATACTATCAGCATTTATGATGCTGATAAAGATAGCACCTCTACCGACGGAATCTAACTGCGCATTTACATTCTCTCAAGATGCTGAAATAAATAAATTATATTTCTCCACTCCTGTTCCAGAGTCAAAATTTAGCCTACATATGGTGTATCATTTTACTGCAAGAAATGCTTAATTCTGCAGGAGTTAAATTTAAGGCTATGTGAGAGGTTATATACCTACAGTCAGTGTCCAGATTTCTGTTTCCATTTAACCCATCTGAACAATAGGCTACAGTTCTCTTGACGTGCCATAGGCTTATTTGAAGTCCTCATCTTGTGACTGTCGAATTTGTATAGCGCCTCAATATCATCACACATAACATAGCCGACGCTGCTATCATCCTCTTTTACCACTTCACCAAATCTTTCCCAAACAACATGACTTTTCTGGCCCTCCCTTCTCTTCATTTTCAACTCTCCATTTCGCAGCATTTCTTTTATTGAATTAAACTCTGACACTGTCATTTTTGCGTCTGTAGATCAACGTTAACTTTTTCTGCACGTTCCCAAAAGCATTTGGCGATTGGCGTGCAGGCTATTTGGCACGCATACAGTTAAACCCTGAAGCTTAGGCTTATGCACTAATAGCAGATAGCCTAAAATAATGAAAGAAAAACCGCAATGTAGCCTATATAAATTACACAAGAATTATACATTTATGGATTTTTTAAGGTATTGTTTCTCTTTATTCAACCCGTCCGTCCGTATTTTATTTATTTAACCTTTATTTAACCAGGTAAGCCAGTTGAGAACAAGTTCTCATTTACAACTGCGACCTGGCCAAGATAAAGCAAAGCAGTGCAATAAAAACAACAACAGAGTTACATATGCGGTAAACAAAACAAAGTCAAAAATACAACAGAAAATATATTTACAGTGTTTGTGAATGTAGTAAATTATGGAGGTAAAGCAATAAATAGGCCATAGTGCAAAATAGTTACAATTTCGTATTAACACTGGAATGATAGATGATGTGCAAATAGAGATACTGGGGTGCAAATTAGCAAAATAAATAACAATATGGGGATGAGGTAGTTGGATGGGCTAATTACAGATGGGCTGTGTACAGGTGTAGTGATCGGTAAGCTGCTCTGACAACTGACGCCTAAAGTTAGTGAGGGAGATAAGAGTCTCCAGCTTCAGAGATTTTTGCAGTTCGTTCCAGTCATTGGCAGCAGAGAACTGGAAGGAATGGCGGCCAAAGGAGGTGTTGGCTTTGGGGATGACCAGTGAGATATACCTGCTGGAGCACAGACTACGGGTGGGTGTTGCTATGGTGACCAGTGAGCTAAGATAAGACGGGGATTTGCCTAGCAGTGACTTATAGATGACCTGGAGCCAGTGGGTTTGGCGACGAATATGCAGTGAGGGCCAGCCAACAAGAGCGTACAGGTCACAATGGTGGGTAGTATATGGGGCTTTGGTGACAAAACGGATGACACTGTGATAGACTACATCCAATTTGCTGAGTAGAGTGTTGGAGGCTATTTTGTAAATGACATCGCCGAAGTCAAGGATCGGTAGGATAGTCAGTTTTACGAGGGCATGTTTGGCAGCATGAGTGAAGGAGGCTTTGTTGCGAAATAGGAAGCCGATTCTAGATCTAACTTTTGATTGGAGATGCTTAATGCGAGTCTGGAAGGAGAGTTTACAGTCTAACCATACACCTAGGTATTTGTAGTTGTCCACATACTCTAGGTCAGACCCACCGAGAGTAGTGATTCTAGTCGGGTGGGCGGGTGCAAGCAGCATTCGGTTGAAGAGCATGCATTTAGTTTTACTAGTGTTTAAGAGCAGTTGGAGGCTACTGAAGGAGTGTTGTATGGCGTTGAAGCTCGTTTAGAGGTTTGTTAACACAGTGTCCAATGAAGGGCCAGATGTATACAAAATGGTATCGTCCGCATAGAGGTGGATCCGAGCGTCACCAGCAGCAAGAGCAACATCATTGATATACACAGAGAATAGAATCGGCCCGAGAATTGAACCCTGTGAAACCCCCATAGAGACTGCCAGATGTCCAGACAACAGGCCCTCCGATTTGACACATTGAACTCTATCTGAGAAGTAGTTGGTGAACCAGGCGAGGCAGTCATTTGAGAAACCAAGGCTATTTAGTCTGCCAATAAGAATGCGGTGGTTGACAGAGTCGAAAGCCTTGGCCAGGTCGATGAAGACGGCTGCGCAGTACTGTCTTTTATCGATCGCGGTTATAATATCGTTTAGGACCTTGAGCGTGGCTGAGGTGCACCCATGACCAGCTCGGAAACCGGATTGCATAGCGGAGAAGGTACAGTGGGATTCGAAATGGTCGGTGATCTGTTTGTTAACTTGGCTTTCAAAAACTTTCGAAAGGCAGGGCAGGATGGATATAGGTCTGTAACAGTTTGGATCTAGAGTTTCACCCCCTTTGAAGAGGGGGATGACCACGGCAGCTTTCCAATCTCTGGGGATCTCAGACGTTACGAAAGAGAGGTTGAACAGGCTAGTAATAGGGGTTGCAACAATTTCGGCGGCTAATTTTAGAAAGAAACGGTCCAGATTGTCTTGCCCAGCTGATTTGTAGGGATACAGATTTTTCAGCTCTTTCAGAACATCAGCTGTCTGAATTTGTGTAAAGGAGAAGTGGGGGGGGGCAAGGGCAAGTTGCAGTGGAGGGTGCAGAGCTGGTGGCCAGGGTAGTGGTAGCCAGGTGGAAAGCATGGCCAGCCGTAGCAAAATGCTTGTTGAAATTCTCAATTATTGTAGATTTATCGGTGGTGACAGTGTTTCCTAGCCTCAGTGCAGTGGGCAGTTGGGAGGAGGTGCTCTTATTCTCCATGGACTTTACAGTGTCCCAAAACCTTTTGGAGTTAGCGCTACAGGATGCAAATTTATGTTTGAAAAAGCTAGCCTTTGTTTTCCTAACTGATTGTGTATATTGGTTCCTGACTTCCCTGAAAAGTTGCATATCGCGGGGGCTGTTCGATGCTAATGCAGTACGCCACAGGATGTTTTTGTGCTGGTCAAGGGCAGTCAAGTCTGAGGAGAACAAGGGGCTGTTCTTAGTTCTGAATTTTTTGAATGGGGCATGCTTATTTAAGATTGAGAGGAAAGCACTTTTAAAGAACAACCAGGCATCCTCTACTGATTTAATGACCCTAAACCCGCCCGCCCCGCGGATATAACCGCTGGGACTGCGGGTTATGAGTCAACCCGCGCATCACTAGTGTGTGAGTGAGGTATGTGTGTGAGTGAGGTATGTGTGAGTGAGGTGTTTGTGTGAGTGAGGTGTGTGTGTGTGAGTGAGGTGTGTGTGTGTGTGAGTGAGGGGTGTATAAGTGAGTGAGTGAGATATGTGTGAGTGAGGTGTGTTTGAATAAGTGAGGTGTGTGTGAATAAGTGAGTTGGGTGTGAGTGAGGTGTGTGTGAATAAGTGAGGTGTGTGTGAATAAGTGAGGTGTGTGTGTGAGTGAGGTGTGTGTGAATAAGTGAGGTGTGTGTGTGAGTGAGGTGTGTGTGAGTGATGTGTGTGTATTGAGGTGTCTGGCCAGGTCCATACTCACATGGAAAGACTCGGCGGAGCCGTACTTAGCTCTGATCTTGGGCTCTCTGATGGTGGCTAGGTTAGTTCCACTGATGGTCAACAGGGTTCCACCACTGACGAGACAAAATAATAACTTGGTTAACAATTATGTAAATGTGAGCATGCATAGCAAATTAGTAGATTGAAGTATATTCAGTTGCCAGCTTTGGGTGAAGTTGTGAATATACACCCTGAATGTAAGACGTGTTGTATGTGTACTGTAACTACTAGGAGACAGTCACAAATGGAGTGACTAGTTACAATCCCAGTGTCTGGAAAGCCAGTGCATAATAACACCCACTTTGTCTGGAAAGTAATGCTTGCCTCCATCCCCTGTGATTTCCTTTATCTACCCTGGTGAGTGCTGTGTTCTCTGCTGTCGACTTCCTTCCCCCTGCATGCATGGACAGGCAGCTTCTGGCTGAGGCTGGGGCTAAGGCTGGGGATAAGGCTGAGACTGCCTTAATACAGCTGGAAGCCGACACCAACTTATCCACAGATGATGTTATTTGTGTAAAGCCTCTACCTCCAGCCCGGCTCTCACATTGTGAGAAAGCCCTCTTAACTCAGCTATACACTTCAGGAAATAACCGACGGGACATTGAGAATAGACTCTCTCTCCTCCCCACCAGTGCAGCCTCAGCCCTATCCAGAGCCTCAGCCCCATCCAGAGCCCCAGCCCCTTCCAGAGCCCCAACCCCAGTCCCTTCCAGAGCCACAACCCCATCCAGAGCCTCAGCCCCATCCCCTTCCAGAGCCCTATCCCCATCCAAAGCCCCAGCTCCTTCCAGAACCCCAACCCCAGTCCCTTCCAGAGCCACAACCCCTTCCAGAGCCACAGCCCCATCCCCTTCCAGAGCCCCATCCCCATCCAGAGCCCCAGCACTTTCCAGAACCCCAACCCCAGTCCCTTCCAGAGCCACAACCCCTTCCAGAGCCACAGCCCCATCCCCTTCTAGAGCCACATCCCCATTCAGAGCCCCAGCACTTTCCAGAACCCAAACCCCAGTCCCTTCCAGAGCCACAACCCCTTCCAGAGCCACAGCCCCATCCCCTTCCAGAGCCCCATCCCCATTCAGAGCCCCAGCACTTTCCAGAACCCAAACCCCAGTCCCTTCCAGAGCCACAACCCCTTCCAGAGCCACAGCCCCATCCCCTTCCAGAGCCCCATCCCCATTCAGAGCCCCAGCACTTTCCAGAACCCCAACCCCAATCCCTTCCAGAGCCCCATCCCCTTCCAGAGCCCCATCCCCATTCAGAGCCCCAGCCCCTTCCAGAGCCCTAGTCCCAGCCAGAGCCCCAGCCCCATCCCCATCCAGAGCCCCAAGCCCCGCCCCATCCCCAGCTCTAGCCCCAGCCACTATCTGCGTGGAGCTCATCTCAAGCAGCAACATGGCTCCACTGGGCTTTGACAAAGTAACAGAATGGATTCCTGCTTTTTCTTCTCCCTTTTCATTCTCTCTCAATTACTCTTTCGCTTCCCTTCTACTTTGTTAATCGAATTCTCTCCCTTTGCTGTATATTTGAAGCAATTTAGCATCTACTTATTCAATCAATAAGCTATTTATTCCACTCCAGAAAACCAAGAAGTGTTTTAATCTAGTGTCTTTTTTTTCAGAAAGTTACAAATACGATATGAGCAAATCTAATTTATCAATCTCAGTATAGAACTCCCTATTCAAAACATTGCAATGCAGTGAATGTGCACTGCAGTTAACATAGACAGTAGAACTTTATGAACAGATGAACAAACATGTTGTTCACACATCTCCTAGCCACTGGTTTATGCTATGCTGCCAGGATTGTATGGATGAGGCATTTGGGCCTGTAGCGATCACATCAATCACCTGAGAGAATTTTGTCTTTGAGAGATCCAGGAATCTCAGTCCTTTTGTCTCTTGTTTTTGATTTGTTCATGTATGTGTGCATGTGTTCCCGTCTGTTTTCTGGTTGCTATTACGCACTGGGCCAGATGGAGCCCAGATCTGAGGCGAATCACTGGAGACATTGGGGGGGACAGTCAGTCGGTTTGCCCATTCAACCATCCAGGCTAAGGCTCTGTAGCCGGGCAGGCCAGGCAACCCCTGGGTGGGCTCACCCCCCCCCCCCGGTCTGGGGCAGCAGTTGGGCCACAGCTGCTCCACAGCCAATCCCACAGACAGAGCGACGGGAATACTCTCCATTCATTTCTAACAGCCTATTACAGTGGGGGAAAAAAGTATTTAGTCAGCCACCAATTGTGCAACTTCTCCCACTTAAAAAGATGAGAGAGGCCTGTAATTTGCATCATAGGTACACGTCAACTATGACAGACAAATTGAGAAAAGAAAAATCCCGAAAATCACATTGTAGGATTTCTAATGAATTTATTTGCAAATGATGGTGGAAAATAAGTATTTGGTCACCTACAAACAAGCAAGATTTCTGGCTCTCACAGACCTGTAACTTCTTCTTTAAGAGGCTCCTCTGTCCTCCACTCGTTACCTGTATTAATGGCACCTGTTTGAACTTGTTATCAGTATTAAAGACACCTGTCCACAACCTCAAACAGTCACACTCCAAACTCCACTATGGCCAAGACCAATGAGCTGTCAAAGGACACCAGAAACAAAATTGTAGACCTGCACCAGGCTGGGAAGACTGAATCTGCAATAGGTAAGCAGCTTGGTTTGAAGAAATCAACTGTGGGAGCAATTATTAGGAAATGGAAGACATACAAGACCACTGATAATCTCCCTCGATCTGGGGCTCCACACAAGATCTCACCCCGTGCGGTCAAAATGATCACAAGAACGGTGAGCAAAAATCCCAGAACCACACGGGGGGACCTAGTGAATGACCTGCAGAGAGCTGGGACCAAAGTAACAAAGCCTACCATCAGTAACACACTACGCCACCAGGGACTCAAATCCTGCAGTGCCAGACGTGTCCCCCTGCTTAAGCCAGTACATGTCCAGGCCCGTCTGAAGTTTGCTAGAGTGCATTTGGATGATCCAGAAGAGGATTGGGAGAATGTCATATGGTCAAATGAAACCAAAATATAACTTTTTGGTAAAAACTCAACTCGTCGTGTTTGGAGGACAAGGAAATGCTGAGTTGCATCCAAAGAACACCATACCTACTGTGAAGCATGGGGGTGGAAACATCATGCTTTGGGGCTGTTTTTCTGCAAAGGGACCAGGACGACTGATCCGTGTAAAGGAAAGAATGAATGGGGCCATGTATCGTGAGATTTTGAGTGAAAACCTCCTTCCATCAGCAAGGGCATTGAAGATGAAACGTGGCTGGGTCTTTCAGCATGACAATGATCCCAAACACACCGCCCGGGCAACGAAGGACTGGCTTTGTAAGAAGCATTTCAAGGTCCTGGAGTGGCTTAGCCAGTCTCCAGATCTCAACCCCATAGAAAATATGTGGAGGGAGTTGAAAGACCGTGTTGCCCAGCGACAGCCCCAAAACATCACTGCTCTAGAGGAGATCTGCATGGAGGAATGGGCCAAAATACCAGCAACAGTGTGTGAAAACCTTGTGAAGACTTACAGAAAACTTTTGACCTGTGTCATTGCCAACAAAGGGTATATAACGAAGTATTGAGAAACTTTAGTTATTGACCCAATACTTATTTTCCACCATCATTTGCAAATAAATTCATAAAAAATCCTACAATGTGATTTTCTGGATTTTTTTTTCTCATTTTGTCTGTCATAGTTGACATGTACCTATGATGAAAATTACAGGCCTCTCTCATCTTTTTAAGTGGGAGAACATGCACAATTGGTGGCTGACTAAATACTTTTTTCCCCCACTGTATATCAAACTATTGTAGATGCAGAAGGAAGTGGTGTCAACAGAGACAGAAGGGCTGTGGCATCTTGTAACAGTTCTTTGGTTTAACATGTTTACCAGGAAGCAGAGCAATCTGTGTCAATGTGGGCATTTCACAAGGTTCTGTATTTACACACATAAGTGGTGTGCCCCTCGCTAACTCGTGGGACATCTCTAAGTGTCTCTTTTAAAGAGGTGCCACTGTAGCTACACTACTGTACCCCAGACCAGCACCAGAGAACCAGGCGATACCCATGTAAATACCCAGATCTCCTCCCTACCTAGCAATACTCCAGTCGGGTTCGATCCTCAGGATGGTGGGGTCATCAGTATAGTTGTATTTGACCTCTGGGTTCCTCAGCTCAGCAGAGTCGATGTCCACCATGACTGGTGTGCTGCCTGGTGTCAGCCCCGCTGGGGTCACACACACTATCTCTCGGGAATTCCTCCTGCAGGGACAGAGAGGGTGGTTAAAGGATGATACAGATGACTGCTTTTCTTGTCAATGTAACTGGTAAAGGTCCAAGATTGTGCACCTCTCTCCCTGAAAACTAAATGGCAATACCTGTATGAACATGAAAAAGCGTTTCATGGACAAAACACTGATGATTTGTTCTGTGTGTGTTTCCCATTGGCATTGATACAATTCATACTGTCCACTGCTTGTCATAGCACACAATAACTACAATATCTAGTATGAAGCACTGTTGAATGATGCTTGAATTTGTGGGAGAGTGCCGTAGTCTTTCTAGGAGTGGAAAGGAGTGATTCTGGTGCGATTCCCAAGTCCTGCCTGGAGACGTGCCTGCAATGTCTCCTCTGATTCTCCTCGCCCCGTTTCCATGGGAACCCCCTGAACATGGTACGCTCCACAAACCCTCCCAAGACTGCACATATCTTGACAAGGTGTCTGTGACAAAGGGTGGATCACCCCCCTGTATCTCCCCTCACTCTCACTCCCCTGTATCTCCCCTCACTCCCCCTGTATTCCCCTCACCCCCCCGTATCTTCCCTCACTACCCCTGTATTCCCCTCACTCTCACTCCCCCTGTATCTCCCCTCACTCCCCCTGTATCTCCCCTCACTCCCCTTGTATCTCCCCTCACCCCCCCTGTATTCCCCTCACTCTCACTCCCCCTGTATCTCCCCTCACTCTCACTCCCCCTGTATCTCCCCTCACTCTCACTCCCCCTGTATCTCCCCTCACTCCCCCTCACTCCCCCTGTATCTCCCCTCACCCCCCCTGTATCTCCCCTCACTCCCACTCCCCCTGTATCTCCCCTCACTCCCCCTATATCTCTCCTCACTCCCCCTGTATCTCCCCTCACTACCCCTGTATTTCCCCTCACCCCCCCCCCCCCCCGTATCTCCCCTCACTCTCACTCCCCCAGTATCTCCCCTCACTCCCACTCCCCCTGTATCTCCCCTCACTCCCCCTGTATTCCCCTCACCCTCCCTATCTCCCCTCACTCCCCCTGTATTCCCCTCACCCTCCCTATCTCCCCTCACTACCCCTGTATTCCCCTCACTCTCACTCCCCCTGTATCTCCCCTCACCCCCCCCTGTATCTCCCCTCACTCTCACTTCCCCTGTATCTCCCCTCACTCCCCTTGTATCTCCCCTCACTCTCACTCCCCCTGTATCTCCCCTCATTCCCCCTGAATTCCCCTCACCCTCCCTATCTCCCCTCACTCCCCCTGTATTCCCCTCACCCTCCCTATCTCCCCTCACTACCCCTGTATTCCCCTCACTCTCACTCCCCCTGTATCTCCCCTCACCCCCCCCTGTATCTCCCCTCACTCTCACTTCCCCTGTATCTCCCCTCACTCCCCTTGTATCTCCCCTCACTCTCACTCCCCCTGTATCTCCCCTCATTCCCCCTGTATCCCCCCCCCCCCCCCCCCCGGCAGGAACCTGGCTCTCACACTACCTGGCTGGGCTCTACCTACCTCTCAGCTGCAATGCAGAGCACCCCCGCTTTCAACAGGCATTCTGTTAATATTCCTCATACAGGTGTAGACTGAGATCTACTGTTCCCTGCACTAGGTGTTGCACAGCAATGGGTCCGCTCCACTGTGATATGAGCTAAAAATAGGTAGACAGACAGAAAGCCTGATTTGACAGACTAACTGACACTCACTTTTTGAAGTGGCAGAGGTGGCGTCCAATGTTGACAGACACAGAGCTGCCGGCGTTGAGGTGGTTGCCCTCTATGGTGATCCTGGTGCCTCCTGAGAGAGGGCCCTGGGCAGGCAGCACCCGCGTGAAGAAGGGCGTCTGTAGGAGGGGGAACCATAAGACACGTTTATTATGCATTCAACAAAATGACCAATAATCATTGTGCAATGTAAGGATCCATCTATCCCTGACCATGGCTGTGTCATCTGGGTGCTACTTACCACGAAGGTGAATGCTCGGGGTGAGAGGGCTCTATAGTCTGCCAGGCAGTCCCTCACACACACCTCCACGTTAGCCTCCTGCACTCGGTAGCCCGTGGCGTCGTTCAGCAAACACACAATTCTGTAGGAGAGAGGGGTGATGGTAGGGAAGGTATGAGTGAGGAAAAGGGAGAGGAGTTAGAGACACATGGGATGACACACGTGTTGAGCTCACCTGTAGCTACAGTAAGGCTGTCTGGTATTTGTGTAGTGATTCCTCCAATTTTAAAGGGAGCATCTACTATCTACATGCTCTATGGAGAGATTGTTTGATCTATCTAAATTCAATTATTGAGCTGTATATATAGGGGAGAGCAGGGAGGTCAAAGGAGAGGAAAGAGAAAGCTGAAGAGGAGAAGAGGATGTCTATACACTGAGCAGAGGAAGAAAATAATAGACAGGTGAAGAGAGATGGACAGAAGGACAATGTCAACAGGAAGCAGAAGAGGATGAGATGGGATATACACTGAGAGGAGAGGAGGAGGGAGATAGAGGACACGTAGAAGGAGGGGTGGGTGATGGTGAGAGTGGTGAGTGCCAGGCAGCTGAGCCTCCTCACCTCTCAGAGCTGATGTACTCCTCTTCGATGGGGATACAGGGCACCTTGCCCAGACGCACTCCTGTCTGGATGTCCCTGAACTGCAGGCCCAGGTTCTCCCCCGTGATGGTCAGCCTGGTGCCCCCCTGTCTCGGCCCCGTCTCCGGAAACAGCTGCAAGACAAACACACAGGGAGGAATGGAGGGAAGAATGGAAGGAGGGAGGGAGATAAGAAGATCAATGTCAGAACCAATGACTGTTTGGTTAGAAGTCACTGAGAGGCAAGGTAAGGCCAACCCCTTGTATTGTAAGTGTATGCAGGGCTGACCAAATGGCACTTTGTGTGGGAGACTTTATGTCTGCTGCACAGACCCTATGGACGCTCTAATCTAGAGCGCCTGGTTAAATTGTGCTTAGGATTTTTTTTTAAACTCTTTCCATGGTTCAAGTAGGAAGAAATCGATGTCAATGTTTAACAAATTTGTGAGTGTGCTACAAATACTATCATCATATATTCAAATATTGAATTACTTTGACATATTGAATTATGTTATATTATGCTAATTTCCCTATGGTGGACAGAATGTGTTACTACATTACACAGACTGATGTTTTCACCACACAAGAATTACAGGAAATACACATCCTTTTTACCTCAGATTTGTGATGTTAGTATTAAAGCTTATAGTCTTCACGATCTCAGAAAATCGATCGCTTAAAACAGATCAATACTTTTTGGTTTAGTACCAGTGTTTTTGTTATACGTGCCAGTCCGTAGTGGGACTTTAGAACGCAGCTGTAATTGTCAGACCACGCTGGCTATAATTTTTTCTTATTAATGTCTCTGGCCTCACTTGAATTCATGGATTTGAGGGTTAAGCTATCACTCAAATGAAAGCCAACCCCTGTCGATATTTAATCAAATCAAATTTTATTTGCCACATACGCCGAATACAACAGGTGTAGATATTACAGTGAAATGCTTACTTACAAGCCCTTAACCAACAATGCATTTTTTTAAGATAAAAAAAATAAAAGTGTTAAGTAAAAAAAAATAAAGCAAATAACTAAAGAGCAGCAGTAAAATAAAATAACAGTAGGGAGGCTATATACAGGGGGGTACCGGTGCAGAGTCAATGTGCGGGGGCACTGGCTAGTCGAGGCAATTGAGGAAATATGTACATGTGGGTAGAGTTAAAGTGACTATGCATAAATAATGAACAGAGTAGCAGCAACGTAAAAGAGGGGGGTGGGGGTGGGGGAGCAGTGCAAATAGTCTGGGTAGCAATGATTAGCTGTTCAGGAGTCTTATGGCTTGGGGGTAGAAGCTGTTGAGAAGCCTTTTGGACCTAGACATGGTGCGCCGGTACCGCTTGCTGTGCGGTAGCAGAGAGAACAGTCTATGACTAGGGTGGCTGGAGTCTTTGACAATTTTGAGGGCCTTCCTCTGACACCGCCTGGTATAGAGGTCCTGGATGGCAGGAAGCTTGGCCCCAGTGATGTACTGGGCCGTACGCACTACCCTCTGTAGTGCCTTGCGGTCGGAGGCCGAGCAGTTGCCATACCGGGCGGTGATGCAACCAGTCAGGATGCTCTCGATGGTGCAGCTGTCGAACCTTTTGAGGATCTGAGGACCCATGGCAAATCTTTTCAGTCTCCTGAGAATAGACTTTGTCGTGCCCTCTTCACAACTGTCTTGGTGTGTTTGGACTATGATAGTTCGTTGGTGATGTGCACACCCAGGAACTTGAAGATCTCAACCTGTTCCACTACAGCCCCGTCGATGAGAATGGGGGCGTGCTCAGTCCTCTTTTTTTCCCCTGTAGTCCACAATCATCTCCTTTGTAGTGATCACGTTGAGGGAGAGGTTGTTATCCTGGCACCACACGGCGAGGTCTCGGACCTCCTCCCTATAGGCTGTCTCATCGTTGTCGGTGATCAGGCCTACCACCGTTGTGTCGTCAGCAAACTTAATGATGGTGTTGGAGTCGTGCCTGGCCATGCAGTCATGGGTGAACAGGGAGTACAGGAGGGGACTGAGCACGCACCCCTGAAGGGCCCCCGTGTTGAGGATCAGCGTGGCAGATGTGTTGTTACCTACCCTTACCACCTGGGGGCGGCCCGTCAGGAAGTCCAGGATCCAGTTGCAGAGGGAGGTGTTTAGTCCCAGGATCCTTAGCTTAGTGATGAGATTTGAGGGCACTATGGTGTTGAATGCTGAGCTGTAGTCAATGAACAGCATTCTCACGTAGGTGTTCCTCTTGTCCAGGTGGGAAAAGGGCAGTGTGGAGTGCAATAGAGATTGCATCATCTGTGGATCTGTTGGGGCGGTATGCAAATTGGAGTGGGTCTAGGGTTTCTGGGATAATGGTGTTGATGTGAGCCATGACCAGCCTTTCAAAGCACTTCATGGCTACAGACTTGAGTGCTACGGGTCGGTAGTCATTTAGGCAGGTTATCTTAGTGTCCTTGGGCACAGGGACTATGGTGGTCTGCTTGAAACATGTTGGTATTACAGACTCAGTCAGGGATATGTTGAAAATGTCAGTGAAGAAACTTGCCAGTTGGTCAGCACATGCTCGGAGTACACGTCCTGGTAATCCGTCTGGCCCTGCGGCCTTGTGAATATTGACCTGCTTAAAAGTCTTACTCACATCGGCTACAGAGAGCGCGATCACATAGTCATCCGGAACAGCTGGTGCTCTCATGCATGCTTCAGCGTTGCTTGCCTCGAAGCGAGCATAGAAGGGATTTAGCTCTTCTGGTAGGCTTGTGTCACTGGGCAGCTCGCGGCTGTGCTTCCTTTTGTAGTCTGTAATAGTTTTCAAGCCCTGCCACATCCGACGAGCGTCAGAGCCGGTGTAATACGATTCAATCTTAGTCCGGTATTGACTATTTGCCTGTTTGATGGATCGTCGGAGGGCATAGCGGGATTTCTTATAAGCGTCCGGGTTAGAGTCCCGCTCCTTGAAAGCGGCTGTCAAGGCGTCAGTGTAATGCGGTAGGACGCACCAGGGACACATGCTCGGCCCGTGTATATGAGAATGTCATCAATATACACCACTACACCCTGTCCGTGCAGGTCCCTGAAAATCTCATCAACAAAGGATTGGAAGACTGATGGAGCATTCATCAACCCGTTTGGCATGACGAGGTACTCATAGTGCCCAGAGGTGGTACTGAATGCTGTCTTCCACTCATGTCCCCTGTAGCTCAGTTGGTAGAGCATGGCGCTTGCAACGCCAGGATTGTGGGTTAGTTTCCCACGGGGGGCCAGTATGAAAATGTATGCACTCACTAACTGTAAGTCGCTCTGGATAAGAGCGTCTGCTAAATGACGTAAATGTAAAATGTAAAATCTCCCTCCCGGATACGCACCAGGTTGTATGCGCTCCTGAGATCCAATTTAGTGAAGAAGCGCGCCCCGTGCAATGACTCCGTCATACTAGCAATCAGAGGTAGTGGATAGCTGTACTTCACAGTGATCTGATTAAGACCACGGTAGTCAATGCACGGGCGTAAGCCACCATCCTTCTTCTTCACAAAAAAGAAACTTGAGAAGACAGGGGAAGTGGAAGGCCGAATGTATCCCTGCCTCAGAGATTCGGTGACATATGTTTCCATAGCCGCCGTCTCCTCCTGTGACAGAGGATACACGTGACTCCGGGGAAGTTCAGCGCCTACCTGGAGGTTTATCGCACAATCCCCCTGTCGATGGGGTGGTAATTGAGTCACCTTCTTTTTACAGAAGGCGAGAGCCAAATCGGCATATTCAGGCAGAATGTGCATGTTGGAAACCTGGTTTGGACTTTCCACCGTAGTTGCCCCTATGGAAACACCTACACACACATACATTTACATTTTAGTCATTTAGCAGACGCTCTTATCCAGAGCGACTTACATTATCGTTTTATTTTTCATACTGGCTCCCCGTGGGAATTGAACCCACAACCCTGGCGTTGCAAACGCCATGCTCTACATCCCTGCCGGCCATTCCCTCCCCTACCCTAGACGACGCTGGGCCAATTGTGCGCCGCCCCATGGGTCTCCCGGTCGTGGCCGGCTACGACAGAGCCTGGATTCGAACCAGGATCTCTAGTGGCACAGCTAGCACTGCGATGCAGTGCCTTAGACCACTGCGCCACTCGGGAGACACCTCCCTGAGCACTGACTTGACCATCCCTTGAGAGCCCTCTGTTGCCATGAAATAGTGGGGTCATGAGAGGTTTAACCAGGGAAGCCCCAACACCACTGGAAATGCAGGAGAATCAATCAGGATAGAGACACATTTTTTCCTCATGACCCTCCTGCGTCTTCATCCAGAGTGGAGCTGTGACCTCCCTAATCAGACCTGACCCTAAAGGGTGACTATCTAGGGCATGTACAGGGAAGGGCACATCAACATGCACAATAGGAATCCCTAAACTACGGGAAAACTGACGATCAATAAAGTTCCCAGCTGCACCTGAATCTACTAGCGCCTTATGCTGGTAATGAGGGGAAAACTCTGGAAATACAACATCTATACACATATGCGCAACAGGGAGCTCTGGGTGAGTCGGGTGCCTACTCACCTGAAACGGTCCACCAGTGCTCTGCCTACTGCTTCGACTCCTTAAAGACCCTCCCCAGCAACGACCAGCAGTGTGTCCTCTGCGGCCACAGTTGGTGCAGGGGACGGCCCCTCTACCTGTCTCCCTAAGAGCAGCACCTCCGAGCTCCATAGGGGTAGGGTCGGAGGTGCTGGGGATGGAATGGACGGCCCCTGATCCAGACGTCCGCGGGTGGCCAACAGGTTATCCAGCCTGATTGACATATCCACCAGTTGGTCCAGGTTAAGGTTGGTGTCCCTGCAGGCCAGTTCCCGACGAACGTCCTCCCTTAGGCTGCATCGGTAGTGGTCGATAAGGGCCCTCTCATTCCATCCTGCGCTGGCAGCCAGAGTCCCAAAGTCCAGTGCAAAATCCTGTGCGCTCCTCTTCCCCTGTCTGAGGTGGAATAGACGTTCGCCCGCCACTCTCCACTCCGGTGGATGATCGAATACTGGCCGAAAGCGGCGGGTAACCTGGATGGTTGCCAGGTATAGCTCTACCTGGAGCAGAAAACCCTGACACCCGGCAGCTGTACCGTCGTATGCCCTCGGGAGCGAGAGCCGAATCCCACTGGACCCAGGTGGTGAAAAGGTGGACAGCGGTGTAGGTGGTGGTGTAGCTGGAGGAGGAATAGGAAAACCTCCTCTCTCCCATCGCTCCATAGTATTCACCACGCGTTCCATTGCGGTGCCGAGAGCCTGGATCATGATCGCTTGTTGTTGGACGCGTTCCTCCGTCGATCCGGCTGGCATGGCTGTACCTGCTGACTCCATTATTGGTGCGTGTTTCTGTCAAGGCGTCAGTGTAATGCGGTAGGACGAAGTCAGGCGCAGGACACAGAGCTAATCGAAAAAACATACTTTACTCGTAGGTATCTTAATGAACATACCTCCACGCAGGGAGGAACAAACCCGCTCACATACGACAACCAAAACATGAACAAACACGCACAACACACAGTGTGAGCCAGAGGATTAAATAGGGAAGACATAATTACATGATGGGAAACAGGTGAGACCAATAAAGACAAAACAAGTAGAACATAGAAACATGGATCGGTAGCAGCTAGTACTCCGATCCGAAGCCTGCCCGAGCAAGGAGGAGGGGCAGCCTCGGCTGAATTCGTGACAGCGGCAGCTCTACCCTTTAGCTCAGTGCGGATGTTGCCTGTAATCCATGGCTTCTGGTTGGGGTATGTACGTACGGTCACTGTGGGGAAGACGTCATCGATACACTTATTGATGAAGCCAGTGACTGATGTGGTGTACTCCTCAATGCTATCTGAAGAATCCCAGAACATATTCCAGTCTGTGCTAGCAAAACAGTCCTGTAGCTTAGCATCTGCATCATCTGACCACTTTTTTATTAACCAAGTCACTGCTGCTTCCTGCTTTAGTTTTTGCTTATACGCAGGAATCAGGAGGATAGAGTTATGGTCAGATTTGCCAAATGGAGGGCGAGGGAGAGCTTTGTATGCATCTCTGTGTGTGGAGTAAAGGTGGTCTAGAGTTTTTTTCCTCTGGTTGCACATTTAACATGCTGGTAGAAATGAGGTAGAACGGATTTAAGTTTCCCTGCATTAAAGTCCCCGGCCACTAGGAGCGCTGCCTCTGGATGAGCGTTTTACTGTTTACTTATGGCCTTATACAGCTCATTGAGTGCAATCTTAATGCCAGCATCGGTTTGTGGTGGTAGATAGACAGCTACGAAAAATATAGATGAAAAGTCTCTTGATAAATAGTGTGGTCTACAGCTTATCATGAGATACTCTACCTCAGGCGAGCAAAACCTTGAGACTTCCTTAGTATTAGATTTTGTGCACCAGCTGTTGTTTACAAATATACACAGACCGCCACCCCTTGTCTTACCGGAGTCAGCCGTTCTATCCTGCCGATGTAGCGTATATCCCATCAGCTGTATGTTGTCCATGTCGTCGCTCAGCCACGACTCGGTGAAACATAAGATATTACAGTTTTTAATGTCCCGTTGGTAGGATAACCGTAATCTTAGGTCATCCAATTTGTTCTCAAATGATTGAACATTGGCTAATAGGATTGATGGAAGAGGCAGTTTACTCGCTCGCCGTCGGATCCTTACAAGGCACCCGGACCTACGTCCACGATATCTCTGTCTCTTTCTCATGCGAATGACGGGGATTTGGGCCTTGTTAGGTGTCTGTAGGATATCCTTTGCGTCCAGCTCGTTGAAGAAACAATCTTCGTCCAATATGAGGTGAGTAATCGCTGTCCTGATATCTAGAAGCTCTTTTTGGTCATAAGAGACGGTGGCAGAAACATTATGTACAGAATAAATTACAAATAACGCGAAAAAACACACATAATAGTACAATTGGTTAGTGGTTAGAGGGCTGTAAAACGGCAGCCATCTTCTCCGGCGCCACCGAGTTGGTGATTCGTTGAAATGATCTACTCAGAAAAGTGTTGTGTTTCCTTTTCCTTATTTGCCGTCTACCAAAATAATTTTCTCACAGAGATATAAGTTGATAAGTGGCTATGACAGGTTGTCATCTATCAACAGATACTGTATATGCAGTATACCCAAGTTCATTGAGGTTTGTCTGTTAGAAGAGCGCAAACCGTAGCCTACATGTCGCCGCAGTTACTGTATTATCCCAGTTCAATTGATTTCAATACAATATCAACGTGAGTGCTTAATTTGCATGTTCTATTGACTACAGTAGAACAAGCTAATCAATTCCAGTCTTGAGTGACCGCTTGGTAAATATTGGTGTGCAATTTATAAGGTACTAATTTAGCAAGTAATCTGAACACAAGTGTAACACGTGTGTAGGGAGTAACTTTTCTTCAAAATGTCACAACTTATTTCAGTATATTGAATTTATGAATATCTAAAACCGGTGTTTTGACACTCGGCCATAAATCAAAAAGCCATGACAACAGGAAGCAGCAGCAGTATAATTTCAAAATATGTTTTAGGAATATAAATCGTACTTTTTTAAACATTATTTTCCCACAAGATTCTACTTTATCAGATACAAACTACTGAATGAGCCCAAAAATGTGCTATGATATATTGATTTTGATGATATTAGTGAAAAATCTGAAAATATGTTTGTCCTGGCTACTCTTTCTCTCGCGTTCACCCACACACCATAATCCAGCGAGCTGTGTTTTAATGAAGAAAAATCACCTCTCTGCTTTGAAAAACAGAAAAACCTTGTGTGGCGCACAGCGAAAGGCCTCTTCGCCACCTAATTGAAAGTTATTACACCGGCTCCCGCATCGCCGTTCTGTAGCAGCGTGTCACACGGCAGCGCCATAATGTGATTTATTTAGCCAAATTACTCCCTGTAACGAGGACAGGTGTGGCATAACAAAACAAATATGATGACTGATGTGAGGTGGCCTCTAACAACCATCACGAGGTAATTATGGTCAATCTCACTGGCTGCCTGTTCCACAACCTGGTTGGCTGGGCAGACCGTGTCAGGGAAACGGTGCCCTGGCGTGTCCCGAGGCATGATGGCGTTTCATTGGCTGGCCACCCCTGGGTTCTGTAGTGGCCCCAGTAGCAATCCCCAGCGGCCAGGCTTTCACAGGCAGCCTAACCTCACTCAGCCCCAGCGCTATGCCTCTACCACATAATGACATGGCAGCGGTGCTGTAGCCTGTAAAGGCAGAGTGGGGCAGGATGGTGGTCGCTAGAGGTCTGTGCTGTAGGCCGCAAAACCAGTGTGGAGCAGGGCTACAGCAGGGTGACGCCAGTGTGGTTGGACTGGGAACTAGGGACACATGGCCCACATGGGCTGAGGCAGGCTGTAAACTGGGTTGTTAATGTATTCAAAAGAGAGACTGGGGAAGGAAGACAGTTATGCCAACAGCCAATGGTAGGAGACCATGTTTCTGGAACCACTCAACACATAGTCAACATAATTTAGAGAAGTACAGTGTATTGCATAGCTGTCAAACACAGTATGAACCTACCCTGACATTGCCAAATTGTGCAGGGTAGTTTTTATCAGGGGGGAGTGAGGGGGTTGTTATGAGGGGGGTGAGGGGGTTGTTATGAGGGGGGTGAGGGGGTTATTATGAGGGGGGTGAGGGGGTTGTTATGAGGGGGGTGAAGCTGAGGGGCGACTCTTATGGTGGAGCAGGTGTCCTCTATTTGTTTCCTTCAATTTATCCTATAGGCTCCAATCTCCCTGAGAGCATTGTAAACAGACCTCCTAGGGTTTGACACACACATTGTCTGTGATCTTCAGAGGCTTCTGGGCTCTATAGCCTTTCTAGTTTGTTTGCTCATCTTATGAGTTCTCAGTCTGACTCTCCTACCCCTAGGAACCCCTAGGACCTGGCATGATGAAAACACAGGCCTCTGAAGTTAAAACGGTGAAGTAGGGTGTTTTAATTGGTTTCAGAGGGGTCGTTTCACATGACCCCCCCACACCCTGACAGAAGGAGAGAGAGAGAGAGAGAGAGAGAGAGAGAGAGAGAGAGAGAGAGAGAGAGAGAGAGAGAGAGAGAGAGAGAGAGAGAGAGAGAGAGAGAGAGAGACCACTTATACAGCAGAATACCTCATTGCTCCATTTGGATTGAAACATGGACAAGTAATGACAGTTGGAGATGGATTTTAGCCACATCAGAAACATACAGGAGCTAGATTATACTCTGAAGAATCCTAAACTCAATGTGCTGTGCTCCACTCCACCTCCTATAGTTCTTCACTTTCTTACACCCCTCTCAATCCCCTTCTCTCTCTCTAATCACATCCCCCTCTTCCTCTGAGTAAAACAAGAATCCCCTTGCACACGCACGGCAGAACAACAACAGATGTATATTTTACGTGCTGAAGTGTCAAAGCAAATCAGGGATGCTCTCTAACAAGGGGGTTGGGGGATAGAAATACAATAAGTAGCACAGGAACATCCCTCCTACCCACTCACTCTCAGCTAAGTGCATTCACTCTGATATAATATTTATCTGAGACAACTCACACACACGCACACACGCACACGCACACACGCACACGCACACGCACACACACACACACACACACACACACACACACACACACACACACACACACACACACACACACACACACACACACACACACAGCCAGGAACAGAGCACCAGCCTAGGCTGAGGGAGGGAGGGAGGGATGGAGAGGGAGAGAGGGTTGGTTATTATGGGGGGAGAGACACTAGCTGAGGGGGGACTCTGGGGAGTCTGTCCGCCCTCCCCTTATAGACGTTGCCTCATTCCGACGCTTTGTCTTCCCCGTTCCTCCAGAGTGAGAGGAGGAAAAGAGAGGCGTGAGAGCTATTCAGACCCCTTTGTGATGGATTGGGAAGGGAGGGTGGGATGTTTGGGCCCTCTGAGTACCGACTAGCAGTCGAGACGTCAGTCAAAATTCATGAGATGCTGCTTATTGACAGACAATGAGGAGGAAGAGAAAGATAATTCAATTACTTGCACCACTCTGGGGCTCCTAGTGCTGGAAAATCCTGGTTAAATACTCTAATATTCCAAATGAAATTACCAGCTAATCCACCTGCTAATATACTGAGGCACACAGTCCCCATCATATGAATAACGCGAGAGACAGAGAGAGAGCGAGAGAAAGGGAGGGAGAGAGAGCGAGAGAGAGAGAGAGAGAGAGAGAGAGACAAGAGAAGAGAACATCTGAAAAAAGGGAAAGAGAGTTGTCAAAGAAGAACATGTACACTCTGGTGAGTATAGGTTGATGTAACATGGAGTAATAATAAAATGTGTTAACAAGCACAGAGTCAAGGTCCTCTGCTGTTTATTACAACCATATCACGGAGCAGGTGCCTTTGAGCTTGTAACATGGACTGCTTTCATGGCCATAGGGTACCATTTCAGAGAGACAGAGAGATCACTACCGAATGACGCAATGACCTATCAAGCATTTTTATGTATTAATTCTCTTTACTGCAGATTTTCCTTTCAGTCTGCACCTTCCCCTCCCTCCTCTTCCTCCTCCTCCTCTCCTTCCTTCCCTCCTTCCTCTACTTCTGTCTTGTGGACTTGTCCCTGGGAGATAAGTGTAGCGAGCGAGTGATAGAGAGAGAGAGAGCGAAAGAGAGAGAGGCAGGCATCGTGGAGGGATTAGTTCCTGTGCCAGTGCCAATTATCCAATATCTGGGATTTATAATGTGCTGAAACACTAGCTGCCTCTCCAGAGTAGATTAAAGGACACAGACACACACAGACAGACTAACACAACACTTTGCATTTGCCCCCCAGCAAGGTGTCAGGAGCAGCAAATATACTGCAAATAGCAATAATAGAGGAATGAGTTGGATTCGTTTTTGAACGGGGAGAGGTTAAATCAGGAGTAGGTGGAGTGTGGGCTAGGCTTGTTGCTGTGTGTAGGTGCTATGGATGTAATCAGCTATAAACGCATTGTGAGGTTTAGCAGTAGAGCGGAGAAGGACGGAGATAGAGATAGAGATAGATAGAGATAGAGAGAGAGAGAGAGAGAGAGAGAGAGAGAGAGAGAGAGAGAGAGAGAGAGAGAGAGAGAGAGAGAGAGAGAGAGAGAGAGAGAGAGAGAGAGAGAGAACAGTAGTCTGGTACACAGCCAATATCAGATCTTTACTGAGGCACAGAGCAACAGATGACTACCGTACATCCAATCCAGCTATGCAAAAGAGACCCGAGGCACTCACGTCAGTAGCCATGAAGTGCTTTGAAAGGCTGGTCATGGCTCATATCAACCCCATCATCCCGGAAACCCTAGACCCACTACAATTTGCATACCTCCCCAAAAGATCCACAGATGACACAATCTATATCGCATTCCATACTGCCCTTTCCCACCTGGACAAAAGGAAACCTATGTGAGAATACTGTTCATTGACTACAGCTCAGCATTAAACACCATAGTGCCCACAAAGCTCATCACTAAGCTAAGGACCCTGGGATTAAACACCTCCCTCTGCAACTGGATCCTGGACTTCCTGACGGGCCGCCCCCAGGTGGTAAGGGTAGACAACAACACATCTGCCACGCTGATCCTCAACACGGGGGCCCCTCAGGGGCGCGTGCTTAGTCCCCTCCTGTACTCCCTGCTCACCCACGACTGCGTGGCCAAGCACAACTCCAACACTATCATTAAGTTTGCTGACGACACAACCATGGTAGGCCTGATCACCGACAACGATGAGACAGCCTATAGGGAGGAGGTCAGAGACCTGGCAGTGTGGTGCCAGGATAACAACCACTCCCTCAACGTGAGCAAGACAAAGGAGCTGATCGTGGACTACAGGAAAAGGATGGCCTAAACACGCCCCCATTCACATCGACGGGGCTGTAGTGGAGTGGGTTGAGAGTTTAAAGTTCCTTGGTGTCCACATCACCAACGAACTATCATGGTCCAAACACACCAAGACAGATTTGGCATGTGTCCCCAGTTCCACTACAGCTGCACCATCGAGAGCATCCTGACCGGTTGCATCACCGCCTGGTATGGCAACAGCTCAGCATCCGACCGTAAGGCGCTACAGAGGGTAGTGCGTACGGCCCAGTACATCACTGGGGCCAAGCTTCCTGCCATCCAGGACCTATATACTAGGCGGTGTCAGAGGAAGGCCCAAAAAAATTGTCAAAGACTCCAGTCAACCAAGTCATAGACTGTTCTCTCTGCTACCGCACGGCAAGCGGTACCGGAGCGCCAAGTCTACGTCCAAAAGGCTCCTTAACAGCTTCTATCCCCAAGCCATAAGACTGCTGAACAATTAATCAAATGGCCACCTGGACTATTTACATTGACCCCCCCCCGCCCCTTTGTTTTTACACTGCTGCACTCGCTGTTTATTATCCATGCATAGTCACTTTACTCCAACCTACATGTACAAATTACCTCAACTAACCTGTACACATTGACTCGGTACTGGTACCCCCTGTATATACTGTAGCCTCGATATTGTTATTTTATTGTGTTACTTTTGATTTTATTTTTTACTTTAGTTTATTTAGTAAATAATAATAATATATATATACACTATCAGTCAAAAGTTTGGACACACCTACTCATTCAAGGGATTTTCTTTATTTTTAAATGTTTTTACATTGTAGAATAATAGTGAAGACATCAAAACTATGAAATAACACATATGGAATCACATAGTAACCAAAAAAGTATATTATATATTTTATATAAGAGATTCTTCAAATAGCCACCCATTGCCTTGATGACAGCTTTGTACACTCTTGGCATTCTCTCAACCAGGTTCATGAGGTAGTCACCTGGAATGCATTTCAATTAACAGGTATACATCTTAAAAGTTAATTT